CCAGGCTGATCGGGTGGTGGAGGTTGGGTTTGTCAAGGAGATGTGATTGCATGTCCTCTCTGGGGACGGAGTGCTTTTTATCTCCTGCGGAGCCATCATTTCTTTAGTATTCCTGTTGCCATGTCGAGCCAACCTTCATTCCTGACGGTAACAGAGCAATATAATTATATCTCTGGTATATTTTTTAAGCTACTTTATCCATGTGAGTAATTTGTAAGTTCTCCTCCAAGTCCTGGTAATCGCCGTCCTTGCTAGGACGTTCCAATCCATGTCTTTTTTCGGTTTCCTCCCCATCATCCAAGTAATATAGATCACGAAGGATTGTAAGCTTCGTGATTATTACTTGCCTAACATGCCTATCTGAGGGCTTGCCAGACCACCAACTGGTTTGTGAATTGTAGGAAATGGGCACTGCGCCATTTCTTTGGCCCCTGGACGTGCTCCTTGAATCGGATATCATGCAGATATACTCTGGTATACTTGCCTCCTTGTGAGACCTCGGTTACCTTGCCCTGATTCAATAAATATCAGGCGTATCCTTGTGCAGTTAGCGCCCTTCTCTTGGTGTGATTGCTTAGCCCTGATCTTCTTGACAGCGGATCCCGTCCCTCAATTCAAATCGGATGAAAAAGTCCGAGAATGGACAAGAACAAAAAAACAATGGGTCCATCGCATCGTCGTACCAGCCATGCCAATTGATGCAGAGGCTGTCAGCATTCAATGTTTTTGAATGCTGACACCAAAGTAACTATACTTGCAAGTCTTTGCTCCTCAGCAGAAAATGTGGGGAGCCTAGCGGAGACCACGGGAATTTGAACACGCCGTGCAGGTACTCTCTGAAATTGACTGTTGAAATTTTTACTCAAGGTCTGAAGAGTCCTCGGCAGTCTTCGAATCGGTCCTACATTATCAAGACTCTTGAGAATTTTCCGAGAGACTGGCATGACCGCCATGATATCCCGGAATCTAAACACCAGCTTGCAAGTAGGATGTGAAATGGTTCCATGTCGAATTTGCTTTGAAACTGGGGTACCTCGTTACGCTCCCTTTCTCCTGGCTTCGGTAGCTGATACTAAGTTCTGCATTCAATGCTGAGGCCGGTATCTGTCCTCTTGCGGGGAACAATGTTCCAGGTCGCCTGCGACCTATGGACTTGGGGGGTAGAGCTCTAAAGCTTGCAACGAGCCAGGTATCCTAGCTCAATATCTCGACTCGGAAGGACTCGGCGCAGGAGAGGAAAAGACTACCGTGCGATAAACTTCAGATGGATCTACTGAAGCGGTAGACATTTTCTTCTTCAGTGTATGCTCCTCTCGCTCTGTAAAGTCCGAAAATTGACGCCGGCATCTACGAATTGCCGGCTCGTTGCCATATTGTCACAGAAATGCAGGAAGCTGATCTGACTGTTGAGGGTCAGGTAGTGGTGTCTTTTCTCGGCGAAATCCCCTTGGATTTTGCTTGTACGGTGAGATTGACATAGATATCTAGAAGTAATTGAAGTTAGTGTCGGTCCATTTTATCCCAACTGGTTAGAGACGAACGGTTTATATACCACTGTCCTAATTGTGAGGACTTTGAGAACTGGGTTCGCCCAGTATACCGGAATATAGGACCACCGCATCAGAACAACGAAAATCATAGGGATGGCCAAAGCCCTCATCTTTAGGTTCATGGCCACCAACAGACACTACACGTCTTGACCGCACTGGTGAAGAATTGGAGACAACATTCCATGCTACATATCAAGGACCCCGGGGAATAAGCCCGACGGATTTCGTAGACTGAAGGATGGTGGCCAGCAAGATCAGGTAAAGCAGTGAGTAGGGGAAGAAGCAGTCTTGGATGGCTGGGGGCTTTCATTATGTTAGGCAGTAAGAGTCATGAGATTAATATGTATTCACTACTCTCTGCTACTCAAACTAGAGTGAATGGCATTTTACTTACAGTATATGACTAGCTTTGGGAGTGATATTATTTCTCTCTGCCTGTATGAAGATCTTAGGCAATTATGAATAATTAACAGGTCATATTATTCATATAGCTGATAAGTAAAAGCCAGAGGAGAGACTTGCTTTTACATAATCTCCTTATACCTATATACAAATCTTGAGATAGTGAATGAGAAACTGTTAGGGCATGTGCCTTTCTCCATGCTAGTACTTACTTCTTTATTCCATATGTACTAAGTCAAGGTATTATAAGTGGAAGCAGGACTGCATGAGTCTTTGACCTGTTGACTAGTAATTTCGTCTTCTAAGAACTAGGTCATGCAGAGGCCTATCCAATACTGAAGTTGCTGGCTCTTTCAATTGTCTTGGGATAACCCCTGGCACATGGACCTTCCAATGCTTGCCAGATGGACTGCGGCAGCTGACCTATTTTGCTCCTAAGGTGCACACTTGGACTAGAGCCTTCGAAACGGGGTGTATAGCAAAGCTGGGAGGATTCCGGTTAAAGAAGCTGGGTAAGGGAGTTGGCTGAAGCTGCAATAGCGAGGAGATCTGCGCCACTGGAGACTCAAAGCACCTTCATATCGGAATCCTGGTGAGTGAACAACCGGTGTCCTGGACCATATAGATAGAATCCGCGATAAGATATGACAATTTGGATGGTGCTCAAGTACATGAGTCCACAGCGACGAGGGACAAGTGGCTATTGCGCCTGCGGCCTGAGCTTTCCTCACATAAGCATCAAACAATTGACGAGCAGGACCTGCATCTCAACTATTCAACAAACATGCTTCGAACCACGCGGGGCGCACATGGGATGGTCACAATCCACAACCCAGCGACCTGGTTCCAGGCCATTGAGGTGAGTCGAAACAAGGCCAATGGAGTGGCCAGAGTCCAGACCTTGCACAGCAGGAAAGGGATGAAGGGAAATATCCCGTCGTCACTGTTGCAGACAAAGGCTGAAACCTGCTGTGCAGCAAGAATGTTCCAGATTAGGCGATTGGCATTTGGCAGATTCCAGACCCACAGCTGCAACTGATAACTTTTGAATATTCTGTGATAATTTGACCTTGATTGAAGCCATCTTGATTTCAATTAATTACCATAGAATGCTTGATCATTGTGATGATCAAATTTTCGTCCGTCTACGGACTATGGAGTAATCTCATTTGTTTATGAGTGGGGTGACACCGTCACGGTAATCTTCCCCAGAAATGTTGGGTCTAGTCCAGTCTCACCCACCAACTTACCAGACAGCTAGTCTTACTGTCATACCACTCTGCGACAGGTATAAAGTGACTGTAAATGTAATATCTCCTGACTTGACCGAGTTCTTCCATTGACTTGAGATCTCAAGGTTCGAACTCAAGGGTCGAATGAACAAGGGCTGTGTCTGTGACATGGAAGACGGGAAGTGGCTCCATCCTTTTAACTTCCCTTGCATCAGGTAAAGGACGGTAATTATTGTGTTACTGTATTTTGAGTCTGGGGATGTCTGCAAATCAACCTCAGTTGTTAATTCATTGAAGCCAGCCTTGGATGTGAAAGCTCTCCACCTGATTTGGAGAAGACAAGAACAACTTGGCTTGTCAGTTCTCAGAAAACCAACAGCAAAGGACTAGATTTGAGGGTTGCTCTTTTCTGTAGCCTACAAATATATAGAAACTAATCCATCCGGTATTGAATCTGATTCGACGCTCACGGATACGCCGACTCCACCTGGGCATAATGTTGCCAAGCTTATGCAGGCTGCAGGCATACGTACTTCGTACACGCACATCGACACACACATGAAGATTCTGCTCGGTTCCTTCTCTCATGAGATAAAAGCATTATCCGCACTTCTGGTCAGAGTAATCAGAAGACGTCTAAGCCTCTGATGCCATTTGCATAGCATATGGTGTCAGTTTCAACGCGTGGCTAGACCGCGTATACTCATACGTGGACTAAGGCCACGAGCCTCACCGCGGACTCATCAAAGTCTTCATATGGGCAAGCAAAAGAAGTACTGTTTGGTCAGCTCATGTCACATGGTTCGTATCTCACAACTGCAAAGTTCAGTCAGCCCGATTGAGGCGTTGGTAGAGGGCGTATGCACAGTATGCGGCGAAGACCATTGTTGCTTCTATTCTTGTTTGATTTGCCGTCCCTCGGTTTACGGACATCTGCATCAACAATTTCATGAGATGATGAAGTAGAAATTGTGTCTCATTTTAGCAGAGTGTACTGCAGAGGGAGAGTATGCGGCAGGCAGATTGTCTTGGTGGTGTTGTCGATCGAATAATAGTAAGATTCGAGCACAAATCATCAACAGAGGTAATTAGATAGTTGACGAATTGACGATGTGATAAATATTCGAGCAAGGGACAAGCCAAGAGAATAAGGAAATAATAATCACAATGAATAAATCAAAGTCAGAGAGTGCGAGCCAACAAAGACCTGTCTCATTCAGGGGTCTGCACTGTTGCAGTCTTATTGGCTGATGGGCGCCTGCAGTGCCAAAGATAGTCGCAGCAGCGTACGCAATCCTTTACAGCCACTCCATCCTTTTTTCACCCCATCAAAGGCCTTGACCACAGGGAATCAGCTCTTATTCGAAGTTACGTATTTCGCAATGCAGGGCTTAGTCTAGGCTCTCGAGCTTAGGTAGTGTCTCTCCTTCCCGCGCCCTACGGCCCTACTGACTGGTCGAGAAGCTGCCAGAAGCGGATCAAGATGCGGTGGCCTTCCTAGCGTAGTGGGTCCTACTGACCCTGTGGCTATTAATATTACTATGAGTCTGTGAATCTCAGACAGGGCTGATGGCCGATGACAACTGGCAGTGGCTAATTGTTTCTATTGTTGTGATCCCTGCTGGGTGGCTCGCCTGGCAGCCTGGTCTCATGTGTCTATTTAAATGACCCTTCGCACCTGAGGTACCTGAAGTCTTCCGTCTTGTACCTGAAACTCAAGTTCCCATCTACCACGCTCGTTATCCGTACACAACTCTACCAGCTACAATCTTCGATAAAGTACATTCGCTTCGGGTCATCTATCAAACACTACAAGATGCGTTCTTCCATCGTCCTTCTTGCCCTGTCGGCCCTTGCTGCCGCTCAGTCTTCTGGCCCTGTGGTATGTCACGCTTCTTCCATTCTGACTTGCGCTTCAGCCCATACTGACATCCTACAGGAAGCTCAGACCCCAGGTGTCACTGTCATCGGTCCTGAGGTTAGCGCTACCGCTGCTACCACCAGCTCCACCACTTCGCAGCCCGTGATCCCAACTGCTCCTACCGTCGTTGGATCGAGCGGCATCCCCCCGTCCTTCTCCACCGTCCCTTATAGCAGCGGCGTCAAAAGCTCTACCAAGACCACCTCGACGACCGCAACTGCCACCGAGACCACAACCGAGTCCACCCATACCACCAAGTCCAGCGCCACTTCCACCAAGTCCAGCTCCAGCAGCTCGACCTCCAACGCTGCCATGCCCATGGCGACCGGCTCTTTCGGCCTGTCCGTCATGGCTGGTGCCGCGCTGGCTGCCTTCCTGTAAACGGATCTACAACTGTCCGCTGCTTTTGCTGAATACCCTCTCCTTTCTCGCGCGAGTCCGATCCTAGTGGCCAGTCGTTAAATAGAGCAATGTATCTTTTATGAAACGAAAAACGGGCACGTTTTCTTCTTTACGTGGTTAAGTCGCTGGGATTGTATCATGGATTGCTTTTTACCGCTTCTTGTCAGAAAGCATCAGGCGGCGCACATAAAGATTATCTTCTAGTCCAATTAATACTAATATTTTGATCTTGAATTTCGAATTCGGAATGAATACCTCATGCATTGACTGAAATCAGACCCATTAGTCATATTTCGCCAAGCAGACTCGACTCTACCATCCCGATCTAGTAAACAACTGCTAGACCAGGCAGCATGTACAATACTTTAACATTCTTGTCCATATCATGATAATTCAAATTGCCTCACTGAAGTCAGTAATCTATTCATTGAGCTCATTGACTGATTGTCAAGTTATACTATAAGATTAGGACGTTTGTAGTAGTCTACAGACGATCGTCAGCATCCGACTCATAGTCGACTTGCTGTCTGAAGAATCTTGTTCCGGAATCCCCTGCAAATGTCTCTCCCATCCCAGGTTCAGGTTCCTCGGATTATGATCACCGTCATGTCTGGTGCTGGCAGCCTTTCCCTCGTTTGTTCCCATGCCATGCCCTCCAGGAGAGTCTTGACTCTTGGCAAACTGCGATAGTAACTCTATTCTCGCTACGTCGGCTTTTCTGCAGTTTGATCCTGCGGGCTTCCCGTTACCCTGGACATGTACCATCCTTCCCATCTCTGCTCGAGCTATAGATCGCAGGACATCCGGGTCCAGCGGCAGCTCGGATATCCCCAAGCCTGGCCCCGGGTCTAACTGACCTGCCAAAACACAGCCGTCGAGTCAGTCGTATTACTGACTACCCGGTGGTACGTACTCCTTGGCGAATCGGGCAGATACTGGCTAACAGCGACAACTCGATGACTATTTCCAAGAAGATATCCCCGCCTCACGTTGCTGGAGACGAGGCATCCCACTTCGGTCGAGTGGACCCGAATATGCTCGTTTGGAAAGTCTTCGGCAAGCGGATGTGTTTATAATCGAGGACGGAGGCAATCATTGGGGTACCCTGGATTGTGTCTTCGTAAGAAACCATCCGGAACCATCTCGATTGCTTTGGGTGGGTGAATGTCGATCGGGTTCTCGCCGGCTATCAAGGACAGGTCAGATACGGAGCCATGTCACTAGGGTCAGGCGCTGGAGGTAGATTACCATGACCATCATGGCAAGGGGGGTCAGACGAACGCGTATTCTCCGTCATCCTCGCGTCGTTGTTCTTGTTCACGGTGCCCACGGTCTGCCGTGATGACATTGGCGAGCATCATCTCATGCAGAAGGACTGATCCACTTGTCTGCATATACCGGAGCTCGAGATTATTTGGATCCCTATTCTTGTTTTGCCTATAAACATCTAATATGGTGTTTATGGTAAAAAAGGGACTACAGCATGTGATAGTTGATCTTTGCCAAAACCAGCTGAAGGTGTTGTTCGTATAACAAATAACCGGTCTATCATATTTTGCGTTAGTAACTTATTGAAGAGACGATAGACCAGTTGGGGGGGAACGGGGGGTGGTTCTCTGTGCCATACCTCTTCTCGCCTGGTAGTTGGTTGCAAGTCCCAAGCCATCCGTAACCTTTCAACTTTATCGTCAAACAGCGACAGTAGCTGACATTCACTGGCTGCCATCGTTTTTCCAGTTGAATCACATAGTTCACAGAATGGGGCAATGGTCTTGAACTTGAGATACGCTGGCGTATATGCGACTCTCTAGAAACGTGTCGTGCTTCTGAATAGGAATGTGGATCATCCAATATAATCCCGACTGTCGGCACAGACAGGGTGACGTCGAGTCTTGGGAACTTCGGGACTGAGGCGGAGCTTCGTGATTTTCGTGAAATCAATATCTGTTATGCGGAACTCAGGCATGAATAGGCAAAGGTTGTAATCCAGCTTTTTATAATACGAGAAGCACTAGGAGATAAGTACCGTCAACCATGACTGGGGCTGCATCTTCAATGCCAGGAGTTCTGAATTGCCTTGGCCAACATTGGAGCAAAAGCCCTGGAATGCCGCAGACATGGCTTCTTCAGCGTAGTATCGACAGCCTGAGGGCTGCACCATTGTATGGACCCCTATGGAGGAGAAAGACGCTTTCCATTGTCATCTGTGTCAATCTGGTCACAGTTTGATGGATCTGAAATGGTGTTTGGATACTGCATATCATAATTGGCTAGAGATTCGAACGAAGGCTAGATGTGGTCCGTGGATCTCCTGATCGCTGGCTTTGAAAGACGGTAGGCTGCTTTCGTGCACTACCCAGATGGGCCAACAGCATAACTCACAGATTATCCTGCCAGACCCGTAGCATTGAGGATCTCGGCCACCCTATAATGACGGTCTAGGAACTCCGGATCTGGCAGCGGGAGATTTCCGCCTCTTCACCGATCAAAGTGCTGGAAGAATTCTTATGTCTTCATGGCGTAAATATTCAGCTCTTCCTATTCAGAAGGATAGATCTCCACAGTCAAGGGGGCCGTCTCTCAGTGGTTTGTACGTGATATCAGGAAACTTATCAGCGTTTGCCGTTGTGCAAATATAGGAACCTCTACCAACCCAAAGGATAGTCGAACTATTTTCTTGCTTCGTCCGACGCCATTCGTCCAAGTGCCGACTAGCCATTGTTTCAGTGGCGCGCACGACGTGCCACAGAGGATATAGTATTCAGCAAAGACGAGGTAGTATACCTTCGGTCCTTGTCTGACGTGTACTGTTGGGCTGGCCAGTGGTCTGTCCGGCCTAATTTTGCCTCTTGCTCCGAAGTCGGAGGGCCAGTTCTTGCTTTTGTCCGCGTGCTTGACTTTGTTGATAACCAGGTTAAAGGCCTGCATGTCGGAGAGTTTTGTATGTGTGGTGGCTGTCATGAAGGTTGCTTGAAAGTAACCCATTTACCCAGGGAGACAGATTGGAAGCAAGAATCTCGTGTGCAAGGATGATTGTGTTTTATGCACAGGGAAATATCTTGGAGATCACTGACTGTAGTAATAGTCATTATTGTAGGCAAGTGAGGTTCCTCGCTCGACACTCATCGAGATCCATGGAGTGTCTTTCTCATACGCCGAGTTAGATCGTTCATTATGAGATAGGTCTTGCGGTAGACTCGGGGGAGGGAGTAGGAAGATGGGGAAGTCTACGCATGAGACGAGCAAGTCTTAGGAGTCACCATTCACGGCATACCTGAGAGTGAATATACTTGCCATGTTTCGTCATGATGATTGGTTAAATTATAGAATAAGTGAATATTAGGTATATCCTACATGGATGGGTTCTACTATGAATATTATAGAGAGTACAAATATCGTCCTACGCAGAATTCTCCCATGATGACAGTGGTTTAAACACAACACCTGTCAGAATATGCAATGAGGTATATGGACGTCAAATACTATCCGCTCAGTGATCTTGCTACTTACTTGCATGAAAACAAGATAACACCTGATCTCCAAGCGAAGTGGTTCCAACAGCTCCTTGAGGCAGTCGTTGTGATACACAGCCATAATATTATCCACTCAGACCTGGCACTGCGACAGTTCTTTGTCGACAACGAGCTCAATGTGCGCCTGGGTGATTTCAATTCATCCCAGTATCCCAGACACCCAGCATTAGGCTATGAAAAGGCATCTCATTGCTTGCTAAGAGACTATGATATGCCGAACACAATCATGTCAGATCTCTTTGTACTCGGATCTACACTGTATGAACTTGTAGCTGGCCAGGTTCCATACAAGGAACTTTACCCAATCGAATCAGAAAATGTCATGCAGTCTCGCGACCATTCCGTCATCAGAGCCAGAGTTCAACGTCGACACCTTGCTGATTGCGAAGTTGAGGAATGATATAAGAAAAAAGAATTTCCCGATGTATCTCATTTCCTAGGTGGTGATGTTATTCTGGGATGTTGGAGAGGGGACTTCTCCTCTGCAGAGGAAGCACTGACCCGATATATAGAAAGCCAGATCACGTCACAGCGGTAAATAACGTCTTTGAGCTCTTGGCATAACCCTCCTTGCACTAGGACTAGATGTAGCAGAGTGAGACTAAGGCGCGCGCAGCAAGTGCCTGGAGGAATTAATCACGCATCGCCTCGCCTCGAAGCGCTTGATTAAACTTGCATTGCAAAAGGGACCAGGACAATGTGATACTTCATTGGCCTTGCATTGCTTCGTACTCCATATCCATTCATTGGATATCCCGCAGGCTTACTGGCGCCTGCTTCTTGAGAAAATGACCTCTGATCTAGAGGTATAAAGGCCGAAGCATTTGGCGTATTGAGAAACATCCGTTTAAGAATTCTCGAGCCCCCTTAAGGTCCATATAATACCACACCAGATTTCGTCAAAAATCTCCTCTTTTCCAGCGTGAATGAAGGATGTTTGGTATGTGACAGTTATATCACCATAGTGTCTCGGTCAAGAACGAGTGGATTGCATATTCAGGATAATAAGGTTCAAGAACCTGCATCAGGTATTCAATCCAATCGTTTTGCCATTTCCAAACATAGAGAGCTTTTGAGAACTCCCAGTACTCGGGATACCAGCCACTAAACTCCCAGTCCAAAATCCCACTGACGTATCCATTCTTGACCATGATATTCTGAAGACGTAGGTCTCCATGCGTGAACACGATCTGGTGTTTTTTCTGGGAAAGCATACCAGCCAAGAAGTTCTTAATTTGACGTTTTGGTGCCTTGGATTGATATGCATCGATAATTGCGTTGTTGAACGCTTCTTCAGAAGCAAACGGTCCTTATATGCTTTAGCATCCGTGGATAATCCACCGTAAGACACAACCCACCTTTGACGTGGTGACTTTCTAAAATCGGATCTGTGACGGGGCCAAAATCAACCGAGCCTATGTAGTTGCTGTTGCTAATCTGGCGAAGTTCGCGGAGGTACCCTTTCAGCTGGTTGGTAACCTGGTTCTTCGTGATACTGTCATAAGTTTCCCAGGCCTTATCCAGGCTCTGGCCTTCCACAAAGCTCATGAATATGTAAGTATCATACAGACTACCATGGTCCTCAATATCTCGTTGTATTGGACCGTAAGAGTAGCAAGCGAAGACTTTTGGCACCGGTATAGTTTCCGTGTTTTCTTCAACAAATATCATGCTTTTAGCCTCACTGAGTGTGACGTGGGATCCGAATTTAACCACAACTTCAGGAGATATCTTCGCTATCTTCACGCCTCCCCAGTTAAAGATAGTGTTGCTGGAGTTGACCTTTTCATTGATGCTATCTGGATAGGGCACCGCAAAACCGGGGACTGAGCAAAAGATATTCACCTTTGGCCCACAATCTGCAGAGTGAGTGAGTTGCTTTTCTTGCGTACTATCCATATCGAAGAGACGAAAGGGCGGAAGTGGAAGAAAGAGTAGACTGAAGAAAAGCGGTGCCACAGTTGAGGTCAACTAACAAGGTACAAGGCGACCAATTTAAATGCGGGAGAGGGAACGCCCCTGGAGTTAGGAGGGAGCATGGGAGAAATTGAAAGTTCAATGGCATAGATGTGGACTCTGTCGTTTATATTCCGACCGCGTGGGGGGTTGGTGTCGACAGCTAGAGATCAAGACTAAACAGTAATGAGCACGAGATGGAGACTTATTTATCATCGGCCACGCCACGCCATGTTTCCGACTCTTTGATCTTCCCAGCCTGAAGAGGCAGTAGAGCGTATGAGGACAGACGGAATCGATTGTACCCAAAAGAAGAGCAATTTCGAGCATCTGGTCAAAGGAGCTATAAGCTTCAGGTTTCTTGACTAACACATCTGCAGTGATCTTAAAGTCCTCTTAGTGAAGCCTAGACTAAACTCCTTCTTAAATTTCCTCCCATGCGAGCCCTCTAGCCACCACTATTTATAAAACGTATCCTCAGCTGCTGAATAAGGTTAAGCACTATAGGAAGTTAGTAATAAACTAGAAGCTTTAGATGCTCTTGCCCTCACCCTTATTTAAGGACCACCTGCTTTCTTATCTATCTCTAAAGCAGCGCCTGCTGGCTTCTTTTAGTTAGTATCTAAGGGTACAGATAATGTTGTTGCCTTCAGGTGTCTGTACCTGATAGGAGTCATAGGACCTTAGGTTGCTAAGCCTCCTTCCCCCAGCTAACGGCTCTCCACCCTCCACTGTACAGGCACTGGTGGGTTTAAGAACGGCTCATCATTGGAGGCCGGGCCCCAGGCATAAACCGGACATACTCCACATATATTACTTCTTTGTTGGAGAGGTAGAATAATAGATAATCTGGAAGAACAATGAACAAGTCGTGGGTTGGAGCTAGCAGGGGCCGCCAGTGCCGTTAAGTAGTGGTCGGATGGATGCTCCCCTATTTGCTCTCTCTCCTCGCAACCAGAGGATGAAAATTGGTAAATAGCAGTCTCCATCCATTTCTCATCGTCGAAAAGATCTGCTAATCCTGTCGACTGCAGTGCTGACTACGAATTCTCAATTGTCCCACCCCGCAACATCCTCATCACTGAATTTGATTCCCTGGACCATGGGCACACCGGCCATGGCTGCTCCAAACAGAAAGGAGTCAGATACTCCTGGCTGGCTACACCGACAGGGAACGACCCTGTTGGGCACAGTGGCTAGACAGGCGTGTAAGCAACCAATCTACACCTTGGTCATTACCGCTCTACTAGCGACCATGACCTACACGAGTCTGCTGGAAGGGAGTATACACAATGTCAATATTACGCCGCCTTCAGAGAGTCACTTCAGCCAGCTTGATGCTACAGACTTTCTTCAGGGAAGCCGTAGTCTTCGTCTCGGAGAGGCAACCGCCTGGCGATGGGAGACAGAGGATGAGTCGATGGGCGACCAGGAGGTGAAACCTTTTTTGTTTTTCAACCCAATGAGCAATCTACTGACTTCATCTTCTCTGGCAAGCTAGGTTGCATCTCACTTGGCTTTGATTACGCTCGTGTTTCCCACCTTTGAAAACAACCCAGAAATTTCTGTTGTCCAGGAGAGTGTTATTTCAGACTTGACCGCTGCACAACCCGTCTCTCGAACGCCTAGTGTTTTATCCTCCGTCTTGAGCGAAACTTCAATCGCTCTCTCTGTGCCATATAACTACCTGGACGAGGTTCTGCGCAAAGCTAAAAGCTTCTCGAAGTCGCAGGGTGATCATTGGACTATGAAAAACGTCGGAAAAGGCAACTCTGGTCCGAAGCTCAGGCTCTGGCTGATAGATTCCTTGGCCTCCTTTGTCGATTTGATCAAGGTATGCCTGCTTTACATCCGCCTAGAATTGAACATGTCTGTTCATAGGCCGCTAACGAGGTCAGCATGCGCAAACTGTCGATATCATCATCATGTTTTTGGCATACCTGGCGATGTACCTTACTTTCCTGTCACTCTTCATGTCGATGCGTCGACTCGGATCCCGTCTCTGGTTGGCCTCTTCGGTGCTGCTCTCTGGTTTCTTCTCCTTGTTCTTCGGACTAAAGGTCACTGCTAGCTGCGGTGTACCTACCTCCATGATCCTTCTTTCAGAATGCCTACCGATTCTGGTAGTCATTGTGGGGTTCGAGAAACCCATCCGTTTAACGAGGGCCGTACTGCATGCTGCGACCGAGTCCCACATTCCTGCAAAACCGATGGCGCGGCGGTCCATACCCGAAGCCATTGAGGTGGCCATAAAGAGCGAGGGCTGGCATATCGTGCGTGACTACGCTATTGAAATTGCTATCCTGACGGCAGGTGCAGCCTCGAGGGTACAAGGGGCTCTACCTCAGTTCTGCTTTCTTGCGGCGTGTATCCTCCTCTTTGACAGCTTGCTCCTCTTTACCTTCTACGTCAGTGTGCTATGTGTGAAACTGGAAGTGACGCGCATCCGGGAGCATGTCAAGCCGCGTAGGGCCGTGAAAGACGGTGGCATGAGCACTGGTAACCAGGATTTTGTCTCGCGTATTTTTGGCTGCAAGGTTAAGGCTGCAAATGTATCTCGGTTTAAATTCCTCATGGTTGGCGGCTTCGTGCTGTTCAATGTGCTTCAGCTGTCGTCCCTGTCTTACGGCAACGTCAGGATTGTTGACTGGGTGCCGTACCTCCCGAGCATTTCCAACATCCTGATGCCTACCCCAATCAACGCTTTCCGAGTCGCAGGCAACGGTCTGGACGATATATACGTTGTTGCCCGTGCGAGTAATATTGAAACGCGCGTTACAGTGTTGCCGCCGATCAAATACGCCCTGCAGTCGCAGGCTGAGCCTTGTGGGGATGATTTTGCTGGCCCGCTCTTCGATACACTACGCGGCCGCACTCTTGGGGGCGTGCTGGCATGGCTAGAAGACCCGGCCATCAGCAAGTGGGTAATTGCTGCGTTGTTCCTGAGTCTGGTACTGAACAGTTATTTAATGAAGGCAGCTCGCTGGAATCTACGCGAGCATGAGGTGGTCCCAGACAGCTCTTCTGCACCCGTGAGCCAGTCCCAAGACTCTTTCAAAGAGTCTGAAAAGACCATGTCAGGGCCTATGGAGCTGACAAACACGCGAAAACGCGAACAAGTAGACGCCATGCTACAAGAAGGACGAGCATCGCTATTGGGGGATGAGGAAATAGTCGAGCTATGCCTCCGCGGCAAGATTCCTGGTTATTCTCTGGAGAAGACGATGGAACGCCATCCCATGATGAGCCGACTGGAAGCCTTTACCCGAGCTGTCAAGATCCGCCGCGCCGTGGTGTCTCGTACCCCGTCCACTCTCGATGTGGCGAGTGGCCTACAGGATTCAAAAGCTCCCATTGAGAACTATAACTATACCCTGGTTCATGGGGCCTGCTGTGAGAATGTTATTGGATATCTGCCACTGCCAGTGGGTGTGGCTGGACCCCTGGTAATAGATGGTCAGAACTATTTCATTCCAATGGCAACTACTGAGGGAGTACTAGTAGCCAGCGCGAGTCGAGGCTGCAAAGCGATTAATGCTGGGGGCGGTGCTGTGACCGTCATCAATGCGGACGGCATGACCCGGGGGCCTTGTCTAGCATTCCTATCCCTATCCCGCGCAGCAGAAGCCAAGCAATGGATTGATTCGGACGAAGGAAAAGAGATCCTGACCACGGCATTCAACTCTACCAGTCGATTTGCCCGCCTGCAAGGCTTGAAATCAGCGCAAGCAGGAACCTACCTCTATGTGCGATTCAAATCGACAACCGGGGACGCAATGGGGATGAACATGATTTCGAAAGGAGTTGAAAAGGCCCTTGAAGTCATGAAGGAGCACGGATTTTCAGACATGGCAACTATTTCAGTGACAGGCAACTACTGCGTCGACAAGAAATCAGCCGCGATCAACTGGATCGATGGACGGGGCAAGTCAGTTGTCGCTGAGGCTTTGATACCAGGGGATGCGGTGTGCTCCGTGCTCAAGACAGACGTGGATGCACTCGTTGAACTCAACACTGCTAAGAACCTGGTTGGCAGCGCCATGGCTGGCTCTATTGGCGGCTTCAATGCCCACGCATCAAACCTGGTCGCGGCGGTTTTTCTAGCTACAGGGCAAGACCCAGCACAGAATGTCGAAAGCAGCAGCTGCATCACTATCATGAAGAAGTACGACCTCCTTGCACTGTTCTGGCCTGACTAATTGGTTTATCTAGTGTCAACAATAACCTGCACATTTCAGTATCAATGCCGTGCATTGAAGTTGGAACAATCGGCGGCGGGACTATCCTTGAAGCGCAAGCCGCTATGCTCGATCTGCTGGGTGTTCGAGGCGCACACGCCGCCAACCCTGGAGATAATGCCCGGCAGCTGGCCCGCATCGTCGCAGCCACCGTGCTGGCAGGCGAATTGAGCACGTGTGCTGCTTTGGCGGCGGGCCATTTAGTCAGTGCTCATATGGCACATAATCGCAGTAAACCGGCGGCGAAGACTGCATGAGTACTTGCAAGATCTAGGATGACAGGTGTGGAGCATTATATGGTTTTCTGATTCTCATGAGCAGGTGCATACAACCTGTTGATACGGTAAACAGGGTTTCCCGTCTGCTCAGGCGCACTTAGGCCACATATTCATCGCGTCAATCCTCAAAGACCTTCTACTTCTGAAACAGAGGCGTCATACCTTCTTACAAGTGCTAGTAATGTGGGCTATAGGGGGTATAATGGCTGCTTCAGCAGCGACACTATATAAGAAAATGGTGGTTTAGTGATATTCAAGAGTCTGCGGCCTTCGGGTAAGGAATAACGTCTGAATTCATACGCTCCATTTTATTTAGATAAAATAGTTCCCTGGCCAGTTATCCTCCTCTATAATCTTATTTAACTTTATGACAATTGATTCTCAAGAAGCTAAAGAGCGTCTGTAATTATTGCTGGCGGAAGTAGATTGTTTCAGCTGACCTAACAAGGGTCCTGGACCTCCCATGTGATGACAGAGGGGTGATATCACATCTGCCTAGTCGTCCCGCGGATTCAACTATATTTCAGATCTTCTAATAATCTACCAGGTTGCCAAATGAAGCAGTCTTTCATCTGCTTTCATTATTATGACTATTAATCAGCCCCTCTCACAATCAATACCATGGATAGCAGTGATTGTTGCACTTCTTCTGTCCGCAGCATCCGGCCTGAGTGTTTGCCAGGAGTGTAGACCTCGCGAACTACGCAATGCTCCCGGTATTCTTACTTTCAAGCGTATCAAACATGGCTAAGAGTTGACACACCAGGCGTGGGAATCGATCTCACCATGGCATATGGGTAAGCATACGTCCTTGCCCATTCGCAGTTCTTCAGGGTGCTAAAAAGTTGCCCCGGCCAGAACTGCTGCGATTCACTTCAAGAACGGCACCACTCGGGATCTTATCAGGGTAGACGGCACGCAGGAGTATCTGTCAGCGATGAGGACAATCGCGGATGATGCGCAAAACGTCCGAGATGGCATGGAGTCGTCAATGTGGGAATGTCTTCTGCTGTTGCTGGAGATTTGCTGATGGTAAACGTCTAGGAAGACAATCTGGGTTCCTCTTCATAGGATAAAACTTCACAAGTAAGAAGTTGTAAGCAAGTCGCCTGAGCAATATGAGGTCATAAAGCAGTGAATAACGAAATCATAGTGAATATTCCCCTCGCGTACATACAAACAGACGAATTCACATAAAGAAAATCATCCAATGAGAACATGTAGATAAGCGAGCGTTGGATGCTAGCGCATGTCTCCCCAGGTATAAATACCTCTGAAATTTCCCCGCGAGGCACGTGTGGTGGACATGACAGCTTTTGTACCCTTCTTTCGATGAGTTCTATTATCAAGTTCCTGTCTCCCAAAGTGCTTGCATGAAATACAAGACAACCAAATCATACGACGCGGTCGAGGCTACGTACCTGTGGACTGAATACCTTGATAGTCTAAACACACCACCTACACACCACCTACACACCACCTACACACCACCTACACACCACCTACACACCACCTACACACCACATTCTTCGAGTCCTTTGATCCTAGAGCACCGCGTACTCTCAGTACGTCTTCTGTCATTTTTTACCAGAGTCCCGTCACTGGTATCCTGTGTTAGTCAAGACTAACAAGCTTATTTCTTAGGCAAAGTTTCGTCATCATGAGAAGAGCCTACAAGGGTGTCGTTGAAAAGGCCGTGGAGGGAGATATGTGGAAGAAATTTGCAAGCCCTACCGCAAGCAGAGGGAAAACAGCCTGGCCGAAGGGAAAAGATAACCAGGAGTCTGTCGGTATTCGCTACGACTATGACGGCGAGGTCACACGTTCCGACGGGGTCTATCACAAGTTTCAGATTCAACCCAACGCTGGAAAGATTCCCCCCACATTCAAAACTTGGAGAGACAACAACGGCGGAACTCACAAAGTCATGGCAACTGCATTTGTCAAGAAGGATGGTACCAAGGATGACGTGAAAACGGGTCTGGATGCGGCTATCGATGACATTGTTGGTAGCTCTGAGCCTGAGAAGTGATGCCATACAATTCAGATTGTCAATCCCCAGTGCTGCCATTTCGTCGCTGGTTTACGACTGCGAATGTTGTGTTACTTCTGCGGTTTAATCAGAACAGCCCTGTTTGCAGACACCTAGGTAGCATAATTAAATACAACACTGTCTTCAGAACTGTTAGTCTCAGCCCGTAGTGACCATGTGAGGTTCTAGATCATAGTAGCCTATTCGGAATCTTCTGAAGGGTTAATATGAAAATTCCATTCCTATGTGTCCATGTTTTCGGCCGGAGCCAACGTACTCCTTACTACTCCGTATAAGAGTTCTATATCATAGTTATGGTACTATTATTTAACAATTAAGGTGCTTTGGTGGATCAGATGTAGCGGATCAAACCATAATTAGCCTCTGATTTATACGTTTTAGAGTTTATACTACAATGGAACAACACGACCGTAGTTGCTCAGCGGGCCCAGGCCGGGTTAATCATGCCATTCCGCTCGTCATGATTGATGAGCCGGTTCCGGGGGATATGCTTATTAATACCCTTATGTAAGCCATCTCTGCAGATAAACTTTGATAAGCACCCTTATCCTCTCTTCTCTTTCTTTTCTCTCGCAATGGCTGCGATACTTACAAGAGGAAGAACGATCATCGGCCGAAATCGAGTGACGTTCGACCACAGTTCGCTCCCTTTTCTGTTGATAAAGTCCTTCCCATTCGAAACGTTCAAGAATTATTTTACAATGAGCGACTCCAACCTGTTCAATTATACTTCTGGAAGATGGATGTATGTTAAGCCCCGTGAGTTTTATGCCTAGACTAATGGTAACTTCAAGTTACAACGAGACCTTGCGCCTTTCGGAGCGACAGCTGTTCTTTAATGTCGCCCAGCTGAATCGCATTGCGGCTGCATCCATCGGTCGACCCGAGCAGGATATAACTTGTATTCGAAAGCTTGCTGAGGGAGGATTCAACCGTGCCTTTGAAATTACTATGCGAGACGGTGCTCAAGTTGTGGCACGGCTTCCATATCCGTCGACTGAACCCAGGATTTATGCGACTGCGAGTGAGGTGGCAACAATGGATTTTGTTCGATTACATGGCGTTCCGGTACCTCGTATACTCACCTATTCGGCTACCGATCAAAACCCTGTTGGTTCCGAATACATCATCATGGAGAAAGCTGCAGGAAACGAGCTTGGAGACCTTTGGTATACCATGGCAGAACGGCAGCGGCTGAAGATGATCATCGAGATCGTGAAGATCGAGGCACTGCTGTTTTCCATACAACTGCCCGGATATGGAAGCATATACTACGAGCATGATCTTCCTCCTGGCATGCGAAGAATAGGCATACAACAAGCTGGAGGCAATGGGAAATTCTGTGTTGGACCTGATGCACATTACAAGTGGTGGCAGAAAGGGCGATCTTCTCTATCCATAGAGAGGGGACCATGTAAGTCGACAGTATCACACGCTTCGCCTCCAAATCTAACTTGGATGTAGTTTCAGAAACTGGCGACCTTTTAGAATCTGTTGCGAAGCGGGAATTGGAATGGCTCTCTCATTTCGGTCGGGCTCGGTTTCCCTTTGAACCGCTGCACAGAGAGCTATATTCGTATCAAAAGGTCCATCCTGATAGCCACGTTAGAAACCTCCGGGATTATTTGCGAGTCGCTCGCCATTTATCTCCGGAGAAGGAGTGCTTCCTCAGTCGGCCGATTCTCCGCCACCCTGATCTACAGCCCAACAACATATTGGTTTCAGATTCATTTGAAGTGGTGTCCTTAATAGATTGGCAGCATTGCTCCATACTTCCCCTTTTACTTCAAGCCGGGCCCCCAAAATACTTTCAGAACTATGGTGACGCGGTATCTGAGGACCTTATCAAGCCCCAACTTCCTGCGGACTTTGATCAACTCGGGGAAAACGAACAAGAAGCCGCAAGAATCATTTTTCAACAACGCCAACTCCATTATTACTATTTTGCGGCCACCTCCAAATTCAACGACGACCATTTCAGCGCGTGTACGGAGGATGATGTGGTTTTGAAACAACAGCTATTTCAACATGCCGGCGATCCTTGGGAGGGAGACAGTGTCACTTTGAAAGCCGATCTTATTCGTGCCGTCCAAAACTGGGAAAGGCTTTGTGCTTCGACGGATTCCGTCTGTCCACTTCACTATTCCCCTGAGGAGATTGATGAGTGCCTACGACTCGAGGAGGAGCAGCGGCTTGCGGACGACGACATGGAAAAGTCTCGAAATTGTCTCGGGGTGTCTGGTGATGGCTGGGTCCCTACAGAGAGATACAGTGAGGCTAAGAAAATGAGCGAAAAATTCAAAGCAGACGCAATTCTACTGGCAGACTCCGAGGAAGTCGCGGCGCAAATACGGCGTCATTGGCCATTTGACGATCACGACGAGGATGAGTGATTGCAGTTTCACTTTCTGGGATTTAATTTATTTCGAAGACGGACCTGTAAGGTATTAGAGTGTAAGTGTCATATTCAATGGATTAGCTAAATAAGACATCTTGTAGAAGAGGAGATAAATCAAAATCAGTTATTAGAAAGGTGAAAACACTGTGTATACAGTAGTATGAAGGGATAAAGTAGGGCTTTAGATTATCTGATCCTTAACAATCTGATTGACTATGAAATCACCTTGCATTAGCTCCCGCCGCTAGCCCCACTTAAATACTCTAACTGAAATTTAGACTTTTGCCAGAAACGTGATTCTATACTTGAATTTGGTCCAAAACACCAGGGTTCAGTAGGAGCAATTTCGTCTAGTCACATTTATAGATTGACTACCAAATATCACAAGGTCGACAGCTCCCCAGACAAGCATACTGCTATAATGCTCTGTTCCCAATGCCATGCTCGCCTCTGGAGAATTTACCATAAGCTTACCAAGGAGGTGCATCACAATACCCTGTATTTCGTGAGGATCGAATTCTATCTCATCGAATCTCTGAAAAGGGACATTGAGTCTGCCCAGCATGTATAGAAGCCATCCCCTAATAGAACGCTATCGCTGTCATTCAAGTTTCAACCATTATGTCTGATTCCTGGGTCCTTGATCTTTGCAACAACTGGATCAACCTATGCATCCAGGGCCATTCTAAATGTAAAGAAACCCAGTCACTGAAATTTGTAGGCTTAACTGGTTCATGGGCCTGGCGCTCACTGTCCTGCCCGATGGATACTGGCGGCTGATTCAGCCTACATTGGGCGCAAATGACAATTAGCCATCGATGGGCACACCTGAGCCAATGAAACTTACCATAGAGACCTAGAATAGGTTTGAAATGGTTTATCCCTTTCTAAACTGTCAAGGACATACTGTGATTGTATTCAAGTGGCAAAGCGTCTTAATGTTCGGTGTATGTGGATAGATTCGGTATTTCACTTTCGTCGGAGACTATTAGCCTAACCATACACGTCGGTCTCGGCCTGCGATGGTGCTGATAGATCCCTTTGCCTTGTACATAGTTCCTAATGATGATAAGATACTAATGATTATGAAGTTTACGCTCTTTACCTACCGATTCTTCTTGTCTATCTTTACCTCATATGACTATCACGTCAGGTCCTTGGTTTTGAAGGTTATAATTGGGAGCTACAGAAAGAGACTCCTTGTAATTGCCTGCCCATGGAGGCATAATCAAGAAATGAGACCTAGGTTCTCTTCATTCATTAGCCAGCTGATGCCTAGGCCTTTCGAATGTGATCCCGGTGTAGACGTCGCCCCCGCCGTCAGTATGGTACACCCCAAACACTACTCTCCCCTTGAGGTCTGTCTCTGGCAACGCATATAGATCGTAGTCATCCATCCCAAACTGATTCATCCGGATCCCTTGCGCCCGATGGCCATAAGGCCTTTTCCTCTCTGCAAAGTAATCGCTGCTCAGTGCGTACTCTGTGTTCCCCTTGGCCTGTATTCCAGCGCGTTCAAGCGCCAGTCTATACACAACCAGAATGTGCTCTGCTCCATTGTGTCCGAGTTGATTAGAGTTCGTGTGATTCCAATGCCATGCGCTGATTGACCGAAGGTTTGGGAAGCTCTGTGGGTTAAAATCACGAAACATGTTCTGGAAGTCCAGCGTATCCGCGCCTGGAGGGCAGCGACGAGCCAGAATTACAACGTCCTGAATGGAAGCGGGAAGGGTCTGCGCGAACGGGAGCCATCCGTTTCCTTCAAGATTGCTAAACAGATCAATGTCAAGGGTGAGCCGCTCTAGCCGGGTGAATTCATTCCACCTCCAGTTTGTCGTTGGCGGCGCGGTTGGGTTGATCGACAGATAAGGACGGTATGGGTTCAGGCAGGGTTCGTGGTGACAGCCACATATGGAACCGTACTCCGTGAGTTCGATGTGGAGGTGTTGTAAGCTAAACTTGGAATGGGTAAGCAATGCTGTACACACAGCCTCAATACTCATGTCCGGTAGAGGGTTTCGATATTGTACATCTCCAAGGCGTTGCCCGAATACCTCTGGTGTGTGGTCAACCATATATTTGAATTGCTTCAGGCTGGAACATCCGTCGATAATCCTGGACAAGGCGCGACCGGAGATGTTCCCCCGATCCACAACGACTGATTCCAGCCTAGACTTTGGGGGTGGCAGGAGATACGCCGGTTCCATTGCATCGTCCCAGTCATACGTGATGGAGCTTTGCGCACCACTCACATCTTCTTGCCAAACTGGCTGGGAGTGGTAATCCCAGAGCGAGAGATTTTTAAGAGATGGCAATCGAGCCAGCGCAGTTAACAGGCGGATAATCTGCTGAAAACGATCCTCGCTGAGAACTGCCAGTAAACGTTGCTCTCGTCTATCCTCACTACTTTTGGACCCAGACCGTTCGTCGTCGTCTTCCTCCTCATCGTAGCCATAAGATAGGAAGTTGACTCGCACATCAGTCAAATTCGACAAGGGCTGATCCTGGAGTCCTCTATGAGACCTCGTTGCCAGCCTACTCACGGCGCGAGGGACATATGGAAGGATCGTATCGTAAGCGTTCACCTCCAGTTCCATCATCTTCAGCTCTGTCAGCTGTCCAAGGGCAAGTCCCAATGCAGCTCCCCCAGTCCCGGTGGCCACTGCATGCATCCAGTTACACACTTCTTCATTCTCAACGATGCGAGATGCTCTAGCAAGCCGTTCAATCCACTTTAAACTAGAATCCCAGGTCAAGCATAGGTCGTCTGGACAAGCGAAGGACTCCGGGGCCAGTTCCTCTACGTACGGGGCTAAGCGGGGACTTTGGGCGATCTCGAGCAATAGTCGCGGAGCACCATTGGTAAACGCTTCATTCGTTCCGCACCGGCGGACGTTTGATGGAATTAAACAGCGGAGAAGTTCAGATTGCCGTTTTCTGTATTTCTTGTGTTCTCGCAGGTGGTTGCGGCAGAGTTCCCGAAGATATTGACAGCTTGATGAGAAGGAGGGCAGGTCCCTTGGGGAAATGAAGTTTATAACTTTCAACTGTAGCTCACATGGAAGTAGTAAGAGCATGGCGGTGGGAAGACACTGCAGGATAGGAGTTTTTATAAATCCAGTACCGTCAGAAAAGCGTTGTTGTCCCTGACTCCCTTGTGTGTTGCTGACCCCACTACGGCGGACTATAGCTACGATGTGGACTTTCACCACTCCAGCCCTCACTACCTATGGTCCCACATGGGTCCTTGTGTATCATTTCCTGCTATCACCTTCTATTCTGTCTGGCTCATCTTGTCCAAGGCTCCCATCTGGAAGATACCGTATGAAGTAGTCACAGCGACGTTGATCATCTGGAAAGCCTGTTATGTTATTGGGCCTTAATATGGGTGCTCATGCCCTAGTTAAAAAGATCACTATGGTAAGCCTAGGATCTCTCCAAAGACTCAAATAATTTTATAACAAAGCCAAGGTCTTGAATAGTTTAGGGGAACTCGAAGACTGAATCCGGCACATCTGCATTGCACCATTTCAAGGACGGCTGAGCGGAAAGAGTCGGTTCATCATGTCGTTGTTCCAGAGATAGCCCGCCAAACCAGGGCTACCTTGAATTACCCTAGTGCTTCTTATAAATTGTAATTATTGCGACCTTGAATAAGAAAGGTACTGTTTCATTCACCTTGAGGCATAATGATTATGGATTTGAACAAAACTGGGGTGCAGAATCAATCAATCCAGAAGATGGCAAAAGAGACCTACAATTTCGCACACTGAAACTGAATGCATACTGCTTCTCTGACGATCATGGAGCCGTTGACTGGAGCATTAAAATGAAGCATGAGGTGTATGCTCAGGACTAACAACATGGAATCAAACAGCACGACTATCCTGATAATAGGCGTCCTTGAAAAAAGCCGTCCGATGATAAGGAATAGACGTCCCCGGCGATCCCCAGAAGAAAGGCGTTCTTTGCTTCCCGCCCTTGAGCTCTTGTCTTTGGTTTTGCCGTCGCAGTTCTCTCTCTCGGGCTAGAGTTCTCCTGCTTCGGGCCCGACTGCGGCGCCTTTGGGCTTTTCGTTGTTTGGCTTCTTCAGTGAGACTAAACAGTCTTTTGAACCAGTCTAGCATGATGATTGGCTGTATGGTTTGTTCTGATCCCTTGTTTATTAGATCATGCAAATGTATGAAAATAATATTTTGGGTGAATGGTGGCCATACCGTTTGTGCTTGAAAGAGAGCTGTGGAGAATCGGTAGCGGGGGATGCGGCAGGTTATAAGGGCCCCAGTGACTAGGCCGCTGGGCTTTAGCACCTATATCTAGTCAATCTAGTGGCAGTGCCTGACCTTGGACTAAGTACTAAATTTCATGTAATAATAATAAAAAATTAATGCAAGCTCTTCTGGCTAATAAATAAATTATTGGAAAGCTTCAATGACTTGTTTTCTCTTCAGTTCTTTTCTTTTATTTACTTTTATCTTCATCCGACTTTATTCGCTTCCTTCTTACAAACATCCCTGTCCCCAACTCCAGCCGAAGCGACAGGAGTTACCTCTTGCTTCTCATGGCCAGCCCTGGATCTGAAAATTCCATCAAGGAATCATGAAGCTTCCGGTACTGCCATTTAGGTGTAATCCAGAACATGAAACCCAGAACCCAGGCATATCCTATGATTTTCCTCACAATACCCGACCTGAAAAGCCAACGAACCTTGCCGTTCTTACTTTTCTTCATAGCGTGTTCTAGCCTTTTCCCAATTACCGACTCAATAGCCCCTGCGAGGAAATTGGCCAAGAAGAAGAACATGTCGTCAATCGGGTAACACGGCTCCCCCGCTACCCAATCCGCGACTACATGGCAGACACCAGACAGGAAGAACGTCCAGAACGCGATGAAGATCTTCTCATGCTGCGAGCCTGGCTGAAGGCCTGCTACACGTCGTGCGATCATCCTGCCGGAAGAAGCACAGGGCGCAACAGTCAGTCGGTGCCAGAATCTCGTCCAGAAGCGGCGGATACTATATGCCTGCAACGGACTGCCGAATAATGGTATCCAGTCTTCCGGGTTATCCAGACGCAGGACGACAACAAAGAAGAGTGCGAGGACTGTGTTGCACAGCTCAAGCATCAGATATGCAATCCAAATCCAGTACACCGATACATAGAGTCGGATCTGCATCTCGCGGACTGTGAACTGCGGCTCTGGGTGTAGAGACAGCAGCCGCCGGATAAGAATTTGTCGCGAGGGCGCGAAATCCTCAGCGCTGAAGGTGAAATAAATGGACAGCAACGGTCCAACAATGGACAACTGGAGCAGCCAGCAGCTCACAGTCCAGAACAGGCGCCGAACAGCGAACCATATCCTCCTGCTGGTGGAGCAGGTTTCCTCCCTGCGTTGGAGGGCTATGTTGTTGAGGTGACGCTGCGGGTCGTTCCAGATTTTGTAGGCAGGGATCCAGGGAGACGCAGTCCTGGGGAGGATTACTTGGTCAATGTACAATACAGACGCGGCATGGTGTATCCAGTTGCAACTGAAGAGAGCCCACAGTACATTCATACCAGTAAGCCATGTTAAGTAGTGACTGGTCTGTAGTGACAACACGGCACTACCAAAGAGCAATGGTGCAACATAGAGCCGATCCTTGTATGGTAGATGGATTGCCTTGAAGAAAGCAGCGCTTGACAGAGCAATCAGTGCAGGGGGCACAAGTGACTCGATGGGTGGCATCTCGACTCTTCTTTTTCGCTTGCTCAATTTCTCAAGCGATATTCCGAGTCCGATTGAAATCCGGCAAATGACGACAGAGGCTGGCTATATAGGTCATTCATATACATTAGAGAAGCTTATCCTGTCGGGTGTAACATATCCTACGGAACTTTTTACCCGAAGCACAATTACTAGAGGCTTGGCCCATTCCTTCGGCCCCGGGCCTATGTACCCTGTCCCCACTATCTACCAGCAATCGGGGTAGTGCCCCTCACCCCTCACGCCGAGAAAAGCCTCTGGAGTCAATGGCAAGCAGAGATCTGCAATCTGTTGAGACAGCGCGGGTGAATTACATTCTTTTTAGTGGTTTGATAGTACGGAGTATCTACCTCATTACTCAAACCACCGATATTCTCCGAAGAGATGCCGTAACCGAAGATAAGATTACCAGGTACAAATGCACATAATGTGCACCACTAGATAGCCCTATAGAAACAGGCTCTGCCCCCAATACCTGCATAGACGATAACTTCTCTCTTGATGACTATTGGTTTACAGTGTTCTAGTTCTTAATACATAGTATAAGGGGGTCTGGCACCTGGTACCCGTGGCTTTCTCATGTATTTCCCTCTCTGGATAGTAGATACTTATCTCCTAGACTGCACGGGCGGCACGGCATCTGATTCAGAATCAAGGAAATTTAGTTAATATCCACTGCCTAGCGTACTGTCCGCTCCACCGGGCGCAAGCCTTGCCGCCCCAGCCGGCACCTGATAAGGCATTAACTTGGCTTGGCTACCAATCTGCTGCCAGAAAGTTGTTGGCACGGCACGTGTGGACTGAGGGATCTGAATCCTTATGTAGATCTAAAACGTGGGGGCCGGGCTAACTAGTAACATTACGTCTGAAATGCTGGATTACGTAGGTGGATAATGAGGCTTGCGCCCACCAAGGGTCTAAATCGAACTACATACTATCATAGGAGCCTGAGTAGCTTGTTGCCCTCCTATATTTACAATTATACTGCGTAAGTCAAGGGGACTTTGATCTTTGGACGAGAGAATATCGGACAATGTTTCGCTAATAACCTTGTACGATAAGCTCGGCTAATTCCCGTGATGCCCCATAACCAACACCCATAGCGTAGACTTGTATATCCTATCCACCTTGTATGAACCCATGACATTGACTAAAAGACTAGCCCCGCGATGAGCAATCCAACGGGAACCCACGGAACATCCTTGATAAGAAGACTCAGCCATCCAACGTACGGCACATAGCCCCGAACCAGTCCAACGATATTCTCCCGATACACGAACCTCTGTCCCGGTGGATAGAGACTAGAGTCGTCAAGGGCATTGTTATCGCCTTTGGTCAAGATGTGTTGCCTGCATCATATCAGTCAGTGCTGCTTGCAACCTCGTCAGTTACAGGGAAAAGTAGGTACTTTAGAGTATTCTCCCCCTCCAGAACCTCGTAAGACACCTGGATAGCCCGGTGCACCATCGGCAGCTCGCGGCCTTCGAACCACACCACGGGAATATCCCCTGCGCGGATCCGTTGCTGGCGATTCCAGAGAAAGATCAGATCGCCCCGGTAGAAGGCTGGCTCCATTGAGCCTGACGTAACCACCATGAGGGGATATGCCGATCCTGTGAGCACGTTTGTACCCTTCCATACCATGAACATCGCACTAAGGGTCATGGCTATGGATAGTAGTTGAGAAAGGAAGCGTCGTAAATCCATTTGTAGATCACCGACCGCTTGGCTGGCGGAGTTCGGCGCTTTTATCGAGTGAGACAAATATCGAGAAGACTTGATTGGGGAAGTGGGAAGTTATGGGATATTGAGGACTGTCCTGGAGCCTGGTCTCTGTACCTGAACAGGGGGCCCTAAGTCGTAGTTGGAAGAAAGACAAGAGGATAGAGCTTGGAAACTTGAGGGGATACTCGTCCTATCCGTCTATTTACGAAATTATACAGACAGCAAGAAATTCTCCGGAGGGATACCTCTTGACGATTCATAAGTTGTCTCTAGTGAACTCTATTTGTCATGCTTTCGGCTATATTCTAGAGTAATCATACAAGCCCAGCACTATCATTACGCCCGTGGTCCTTTTAGCTCATTTCCGCCCTGATTCCTCCCACCTCTACATCCTTGGCCTTTGTCAGTGATGCATTGGCAACAATCTAGCCAGGGTCTCGAAGGATCCTTCATTCCAAATCCTGGCCCCAAAATGACGCATACAACGAGGTGTGCATCCGCATCCAGATCAATGCACCAGCAAGATATAAAAAGGCGCTCAACACCCCGCTTTCAACAATCAAGAACGACACCTCAGAGCATCACATCACTCAACTTCCATCCTTCTATACAACTCTCTTTGTTGCCATCATGCACGCCAAAACTCTTGCCGCCGGCCTCGCCGTCGCCGCCCTCTCCTTGATCCCCTCCTGCCCTGCGCCCCCAGCAGTCGGTGCGATCATCACCGGCATTGTTGGTCCCCTCGTCGGTAACATCATCTACATCGGTCTTAACACCGGCGGCGTCGGGGAGCGTGACGTCGAGACCTTCATCGACGGCCTCGAGAAGCGCCAGTCCTGGCCTGGTGTGCCTGACCAAAACATTAAACAGTGCCATGATGCCAATGTCGGCCGGACCGTGACTGTCCGGGAGACATCTGCCAACTGTAAGCAAGCATTTCCCCAGCAGACAGGATAGTAGAGTGAGAAAACTGATAAGTTGCAGCTCTTCGTGTTGAGAATGTGGCCCCGGAGTGCATGAACCTGGCCGCTCTCTTTACCGAACAGGGAACTCCCATCCCGTGTGGCTCTGCTTGCCTGGACTATGTCAACTTGAGTGCGGCCGATAAGCAGAAGCTGATGGATATTGTGCACAGTCTCCTTTAAGGATCGGGCAAGAGGGTACCACTCTGAGTCTCTAGCTGTTGGTGTATATAAGTTATATGTCCTGAGCAGTCTATGTGTTGTTTTTTCGTTTTCTTTTACTTAGTTCTCGGCAACGACTGAGCAGATTGACTATGAATATGACCTATTTCGAGTTTCTATTACCTATCTCTTCCTAGTTAACGATACTCCGTAATATAATGACAAATCAAGCGGATAAGGCAAGGAAAAGAAGGGTAACAATGGAATAGTTAGATGGATCTGTCATAGCCAAAGGACAGCCCTCTGGGTTGCTTGCATTCAGCTGTATCAGACACTGACCCCATTGAAGCAATTCACATCACTACCAACTAGCTAGCTGCCTCACCTATGAAAGGATGTAGTGGGTCAACCTTAGCTTGGCGCCTAGCCTCCAGCTCCTTTTGGGTAGCCCGTAATCGTATCTACTCCGTAGTGGGGCTGTGGCTGTGGGTAAACTGTTGAATTAGATTATCGCTTACCGAATGGAGAAATTCGGCCATTCCTTCGATAAACCTTCGAGTATAGGTGAAGACGATCACGAAACCACCAGAAATCTATGGAATCGTGATTACAAATTGATTTCGCCGATGCAGAATCATTTCGAATCTGGATAGGTACCTTCATTTTCGGGATGTAAATATGGCTTGGTTAGTCGCTCGTTGAAAAGAATTCATTTGATTTCGATCTTGCATACAAATTCTTGGTCATATCGGAACTTTACTAGCGTAGTCGAATTCAACATAAACCAACAGGTGGCCCGTGGATAGACTTGAGACAAATGTCTCAGTTTTAGAAGTCAAATCAGTCTTTCCAGTTATGTACAGCGTCTTATCTAGGGCCGGTTAGCCGCCTGGATATGGATAATTACATTACTTGGAGGAATTAAAGAAGATCATTTATATGGTCTTAAAATGCTGGGCAAAAAATTAAGAAAACATTGTAACAGAACAAGGCAAGGACATAAAGAACATCTTATGGGCAAAGTGTCTTCAAAACGTAAAATTTCATGACCCAGGTTCATCTTTCTTGCTGCTGCCCTTGCAATCTTCCTCATCCTTGGTACTAGAGCCAGAATGAGATGACGGTAAACTGCTGTAGTGAAGCAGTGTAGCCAAAAGGACCGTAATAACAGAGGCCTAGACAACAGTCAGACACTCTCGACCATCGCTCACGACGATCAGAAGAAGCAGCACTTACCAGTGATAGATCCATCCCCTCTGCGACCTCTACTGACCAAGTAGGACGCTTGCCAGGCACATAGGCCGAGACCACGTCCGCGAGCTTAGCGATCATCACCAAGTTACCCTTGTAGTAGACGTTTGTCTTTGTCTTCCACACATTCTGCCCGCGGACCTCCAGGACCGCCTCCTCTCCATCCGCAGCCGCATTCTTAAAGTAGACGTCGAATTTATCTTTGAAAGCGCTCCACTTGGTGGCGATGGTCGCGAGGGGTTCAGAGCCGCGCTCGTCGCCGGGAAGGACGACGAACCATGTCACGCCGGCTTTTTTGCGCTGGAGGGTAAACAGTGGGAGGCCTGAGGCGTCGCTGAAGTGTCGTTTGTTACTCAAGGATCCGAAATCACCTTTCACAGAAAATAGCTTCGTTCCGAGCGGAGAGTCGTCCGCGGGATAGGTGGAGATTGTGAAGTCGCCTCCGGACAAGCTCTCGCTGTGTTGTTTGACGCGAAGGGCCACAGTGTCTGTGGCGACGTATTTTGTGTTGAGCGCAAGAGGCAGTTTAAGTGGGAGCAGTTTTGATGACGCCATGCTTTCTGAATGAGCAGGTCAGGTCAACTGGCTTCAGAGAAATAAAATAGGGTAGCCTTAGCAGAAATCAATACGGATTCATGGAGTTGGAGAGGGGAGGGCAGGAAGCTAAACAAATAGTGGATATAATTACCTCAATATCCATCCTTGATAATAACTAGCAGGGATATGCAGTAAGCGGGAAACTCCAACATCCTTGGTCTATGTAAGTGGTAAGACACTCCCGGAAGATAGCGCGAGCGGAGAAGCCAGTTGACGGCACAGAGTGCTACGTTTCTTTGGCCAGTGGGGTTCGGGCTGCCAAGGGTAAACCGTAAACCTTCGAGTTGGAGGAGCAGTCTTACTTTAGTGGCTGGATAGCCTGGTGATCACTTGGCCTCTTCTTTCTTTCCCCTCCCTCTGAGGCTCAGCCATTATCTTCGTCCGCTTGGGCTCCAATTCCTAATGTCAGGGGAAACGCTAGAAAATGGTTTGGGCTCCAGTTTCCAAATGTCAGGGGAAACGCTAGAAAACAACGCTGATTACGGTTGTCTACCATTCGACCTCTTCGTCTTGGTTGGTTCCCCAAGTTACATGTCGCATCCGTCCAGTTCTGTCCTAGGCTGACCTCGGTACACAGGAGCATCGCGATCGATAATTCCTGCTTGCTTCTAGCTAACAGAGTCGGGACTAGATTTATATTTATCACTCTATGAGTCAGGACGTATAGTTCCCGCTCAGACTGCTGATAGGATCTTTCAGAGCGATGTAGCAAGAGATCTTGCTACCACGAGCAGCTACGCCACTAAGGGGCGATGCAACTCTCCTATTCCCCTGAAGCTAGAGTTGACGCCTTCGCGACGTGCTATTTACAAGGGTTGTCATCGACTTGTGCAAGAATCAGATCGATATGGTAAGAAGGACAGCACTAAGAGGTGTCAGTTGACGAAAGCTATTTCCTCAAAAACGTCAAAGCTGCAAGGCAAAGAGCATCCACTCCAGCTCTCATCGTCGGCTTTATAACAGGTGCAAAAAGCGCCGAGTGGTTCCCGGGGATCTCGTCTCTGTGATTGTCTTCTCGCAGATTCTTATCCCAGAGTTCTGCATCGATACCCCCAATGAACCAAAAGCAGCATGGAATACCTCTGCAAGTGCCCAGCGTAGAAAAGTCTTCGCTGACATTGGTTCTCGGTGTATCCCCGTCAAAGTCCTCAAAATGCTGTTCAAAAGATGCAGCCAATTGAGACGCCACATGTTCGTCATTTACAGTGGGCGGAAACCGCCGCGTTGGAGTGAACACTGGCGATTTCGGCGAGCCACTAGCCATGCACTCGGCCTCAACAATGCGCTGAACAGCAGAAAGAATCCTCTGCCGAGTCTCCAGCCTGACAGTCCGGAAATCAAGCCCGATCTCGGCCCGATCCGCAATGATGTTCTCGGTCTGCCCCGCTTGCAGACTTCCAACAGTCACGACCGCAAGGTCGCTGGGGTCAATCTCCCTGCTCACGATTCCCTGCAGTCTAACAACAATATGCGCAGCGAGGAGCGCAGGATCGACTGTCTGATGCGGCAGGGATCCATGGCCGCCGCGCCCATAGACGGTAACTTTAAGACTGTCGGCAGCAGCCATGATCGTCCCAGGCCGGGAGCCAACGCTTCCAGCCCGCATGCGCATGACGTGCTGGCCAAAGATATAATCGGGGACCGGGATCATGGAATAAAGGCCATCGTCCACCATCGCCTGCGCGCCACCGCCCCGTTCCTCGTTGGGCTGAAACAGCACGATCAGCGTTCCGCTCCATGCATGTTTCATGCTCGCAAGGGTTTCAGCAGCTGCGAGTAGGCATGTCATGTGCATGTCATGTCCGCAGGCATGCATCACGGGTTTTTCAACGCCGTCGGCGTCGCGCATGGTGACGGAGCTTGCGTACGGAAGTCCGGTGAGTTCCTTGACGGGGAGTGCGTCCATGTCCGCCCGCAGAAGGACGGTCTTGCCAGCGCCATTTCTGAGAACGCCTACTAGCCCATAGCCGCCGATATTGGTATGGATCTCATAAGCGTCCAACTGGGACAGATGGGCTGCGACCTTTTGAGATGTAGATTCTTCTTGCAGCGAAAGTTCGGGATGGGCGTGGAAATGCCTATAGAGATCCTCGTACGGAGTCAAGTCTACAGAAGCACTCTTCAAAGTGTCCGATAGATTGTGTGCCATTTCGTGGGCAATGAATAGGGAACAGAAAGAAGCTCCGTGATCGGTGAGCGAGCAAAAAGCGGCGAGGGGTAAGCACTAAAACGGAAAGGGTAAGCCAAAAAGTGCTTAGAAATCAAGTACATAGGACATCGACAACACAGAACCAGGACTCACCAGCGACAGTCACACAGCAATTGAGAGCAGACAGAACAGTCTCTCTGTGGTACACTCTCCGCCAGTCATCACCAGCCCGTCTACGTCTGACCGTTGGCAGCCGAAGTCGGCAGTCCAGACTCCAAACAAGGCAGAAACTAAGAGGCACGGGAGGTATTGTATAGACCACAGCGAAATATGGCCTACTAATGGTTAAGTAGCAATACTGCACGAGCCAAGAGCTCCTTTTCACGGAAAAGGTGAGCTTATCAGAATAAGAATGATATAACAAATTGCGTGTGCGTCTGCAAAGGGCTGAACTTTCTGTACAGCCCTTCCAAAAATCGATAACAGACAGGGACCAGGACACAGTACGATTGGCACTACCCAGATTCCTTCTCTGTAAACTCTCCATCTCCCAGATCATCACTATCGTTGAACACCCAGGAATCACGCAGTTCCTGATCGTCCCAATCCTTGGGTATAGCGACTTCGCGCTCGGTTCCCTGGACTCGCTCAACGGCTATTGGCCGCGTCAGTAAGTTCACAACTGGCATTACTGGCGAGACGCCACTTACAATAGTATGGGTCACCAGACAGGTATCCAAGCGGAGTATTATCTCTCTTCGTTGGTCCAGGGGATCCGTTAAAGCTGATCTTGCAACTGTTCATCCTGCTTAGTTGGACATTCAAGAGTAATCACGAGAGGTACCTTGGAATTGAAACTTACAGATAGACGATCAGTATCTTGGCGAGCCCGTCCCATGTCTCCTTGTCACTTATGCCATCCGTGCACCACCCGTTGGGTCGGTCTTCAAATCGATAGCGTTGCTGGCCCATGGTATTGACGGCGCAAATGACCCACGTGGAAGAGTCGACGGTTGTTGTAACGGGAGCCCCGTGTATGGAGCCCCCGGTGATTCTCCCATCAGAGAAGGCCTGATCGGGCCATTGGTCATTCGGGTTCTGACCATCGCGTGGATAGGAGAGGAACAGGGTAAAGTTCCGCTTGTGGTAGTAACTCAGGTTGTCTGGACTGTCCCGATCGGCTCCCGACAAGCCGGGGACAAATATTTTGGGAACGACCGTCGTCCCATACGTTGTCAGACGTTGTCTACCCCCGAGGTCCCCTTTCCGCGCCCAGCCGTTCCTATTCCAGCGTGCCCAATACGGATTATCCAGTGTCGGGCTGCCGGGCGTGTTGAAATATTCGACATTGCTTTCGAGGTTGTTTAATAAATCTCGCCATCTGTTAGCACCTCCCATTTGACTCAACGAAGGAGATAGATAGTCTTACTATGGCACCCTCCCTGGGCGTTGTTCTGCCACGTTGGAACGCAGGTTCTCACAGTGCCGGTCAGCACGTCGGGATTCAGGCCGAGAAATGTGGATCCACCCTCCTCGGTGGACGCAAAGGGGAACTCATCGCAGTTGACTAACTCTGTCCCCGTTGGCGTCCCCAGGGCCTTTTGCCGATAGTCGACGTTGTCATCTGAGCAGGAGGAGCGCGGACAAGCTCTTCTTCTTCTGCTGCTTGCGTTGGAGGGCTCCCAGGTCAGTGTAATACCGACATTACCGCGCCTGTTATTGTTCAAGAACTTTTCAACATTGGTGCAGATGCCGAGAAGCTGCGCTGTCCCCGCAGATCCCTGGAACGAGATGTCAGAGAAGAATGTCACGCAGTTGTAGTAGAGACGGGGTAGGCGACTCGGGCAGTCCGTTGCCGTTGCTCGTTTCTGGAGGTCATGAGTGTCCCCAGGCAAAGGCATAAGATCGCGTCGTTGCATGCTTTCACTCGGCACGAAAGCCTCACAGACGCTTCCAGTGGAAGCCGTGCACCGAAATGATCCAAGGGTGAATTGTGACTCTTTCTTTGTCAGGGGTGAGTCCTGGCGCTTCTCGAGGGATGCGTTCCCGTATGTAGGATACGGGTCGGCGTGCAAGCTGAGGACAGCACTGTCGGTCTGGTGACTTTCTGTGCCGATACCGAAGATAGCCCCAGGTAGAGGCTCCTCGGAGAGCGACGGCCCATAATCAAGGGATCGCTTCGTGGATGGTAGTGAAGAGAACGTCTTGGAAAGGATTGGGATCACGCGCTGAGGGAACGGATACCAAATCCCGCTTGTCCATTTGCCATACTTGTAGATCTCGGCCACGCAGCCGAAACCGAATCTGTAGAAGAAGCTCACTGAATATGCATACGACCAACTGTTGCCACCATTACCGGTCGCAGCCGACGCTTCAGCATGGAAGTTTAGTGTCGTGTTGGCAAATGCAGACACATGGGCGTCGGCCAGCGTGCCTTTGAGAGGCCCAATTCCTCCGCCGATCTTAATGCCCAGGTTGATCTCAGGCGTGGCATGGATGTCAATGTCGACGTCAGCGCGGACATTGCCAGAGATTGAGGGTTCCAGCCCTTGGTTGTCAACTAGTGTTTCTTCCATGTCCCTAACGTCCAGGTTATTGCTGACCTCGTCGTTGTTGGGGAAGTACAGCTCAATGGGCTTGAACTTGTACGTCAATCCGACTCTCAGGTCTCCAGAGACCGTTACTCGGCCGGTGATCTGGCCCCAAAGATCCATGGTTGGTCCCACGGCTGCGATTCCTTTGATGGCCAGACCAGGGTAGGTCAAGGTATCGATAATCTTCTTCCGTTCGCTTGGGTAGTAGAGCTCTGCATTGCCTGATATCCCAACCCCTGCGTATACCTGCGGGCGGACCCCCACATATGCAAACATATCCGTGACCGTCGGGGGCACGACGGTTCCAGAAAAGTAGTACGAGTATCGAGCGTTCATCGCCATATGGAAGTCGGCGGTGATGTCCATCCCGGTGGTGAAAGCTACTGCGTCGTTGGAGCATTGCAGGCGTCCGCTATAGAGAACCAGAGACCGCATCAGTCCCATAGTGAGCACGCCGCCATCTGTCTTTGTGACCGTGGTCATTTTCTTGACCCAGTCCACAAATACACCCCACCACCGACGGTGGACCCTGCTGTCGCTGGATCGAACACTCAGCCTCCCTGTGTGGTTCTGTGAGGAGCGTTCAGTGTCCAGCACCTTCGCTCGGTCCACGCGCGCCTTCCACTCCGAAAAGGTCAGAGCTTCGTCTGTTGAACGCTTCCGCTTGGACGCAGGAGAGGCGGTCATTTCATCCCAGTACGGCAGCAGATTCGTGTAGTCCACGCGGATGTTGACTTGCTCATCCTCTCGTTTGATCAAGTGGAAGTCGTAGTCGAACGTTAGGGCATATATTCCTAGATCGGGTTAGTTACTGCGACCAGGGCCGTGTAGATTCAGACGAAACCTACCATTCTGGTTCTCACTGGCATGTCGTTTCCGAATGGCCCACTCTGGCAAATCCCTCTTGGACAACCGTTTTACGGGTACCATGGAGACCACTCGCGCCCAGGGGCCCTCCCCAACGTGGTCCGGGAGCCTGATAATGGTGTCCTCGGCCCCTTTGTAGAAGATCTGACGACACTGCTTGGAATCGGCAGGATAGTTACAATAGACGAGGACGGTCTCTTCTGAATGGGCAAAGACTGCGTCCATAACCGTCTGGTTTGTAGTGACAATGCTCCTCTTCTTGACATTCACTGGCTCGTCGCGGGTCATGACGGTGAACTGCGCTTTAAACGCATTGTTGATCGAGCCAGGGGGACCATCCAGCATGACAAAGCCATAGGGATCGCTGCCCGGATCTTCTTCCATATCGTCCGGTCTGGTATCCTTGTTGTTGTTGCCAAAGTTATCGCTGAACTCCCAAGTGACATCGTCATCGGCGCTGTCGTAGTAGTGGCTCCAGAGATATTTTGGCTCGACTGGCCATTTCTCGTTGTACCGCGAGGGGGGGTCGCAGCAAAGCTTGAAGTCAGGACTCATCATCTCGGGTATCTGGAACCCATAGCACTGGCTCGATGTATACAATGTATAATCGTACATCCAGGATGGCGTCAGTGCCGTGGTGACTTGCAACTTGTTCGTCGCGCACTGCCCTGGATTGCAGTCCTTTATGGCCCATTCACAGTTCTCAAAATGGTCTGGGGTTTTCAGGTCAGAACTTCAGACTAGAGAGTAGAGACCCTTCAAGCATGGCTTACCACTCTTTGGACAGCAGAACTCCCGCCATTGCCGACGTTCGGTATTATGCACTGGGCCCATCCACGAAGTGCCACACAGCCCTGTATGATCATGTCAATGCTCGAAACACATGAAAATGCTACGTCTCCCATGTTAACCTACCTCCCTCGTCATCATCGTAACGGGTACCAATCGAGATCTCATCGCTGCCACATAGGCTCCCCCCCAGTGGATTAAGATCGCAGGCGGTCCAGTGACACTTGTTCAGGATCTCCGTGCCGTCACAGCAGAGCTATGGGTGGCTAGTGTCAGCATCACCGGTATTGACTTGAATGCAACATAAAGAATGCTTACACTCCGTGCTCCCGAGTAACAGGTGCGGCGCCCCCTTGCATCAATGTATGTGTCATAGTTGAGCTCAAACTGGGATGCTCCGCAACCGCGATCACAGCCAAAGACTGAGCGTTCGGGGGCTCCCACCCACTCGCAATTCTGCGGCATGGCTTTTGTCGGACAGCAGATGTATCGGAACCAATTCACCGCGCACTCGCCATGCATGGGGAAGTCCCCGTTCTTCTGGACCGGGGAATGGGCCATCTCGACCGCGGTGTAGCCACTCTTGCACACCTGATCTGGCCCCCGCTGACCGCGACTGCCATCTGTGCAGGTAGGTGTGGTATAGCAGCGCTCGCCAGTCCATGCCGAAAGATCGAAGGACAACTGTCCAGCTTCATCTGGATCAAGTCCGGTGTCCCTGAGAGCGCCCTCCATTGCCTCTTCCCCAAATAGGCCGGTCATTGCCTGGTGATCTTGGGTATCAAGATCGATAGACCAGATCATGAGACCCTTCAGACAGCGCGAAGTGAGGTACTTCTTTTTGGCCGTGAAGCTTTGCTCGTCGTCATACGATATCCACTGGACCTTGTCAGCGTGACAATTCTCACCATTCTTCTGGCAATGAGCGAACTAACCTGGTTGGACCCGTACACCATCCATTTCACGGAGGATGCCTCGTCATAGAACGATTTTGAGCTTAGCTGGGCTTCCTTGCTGACCACCTCTGTTCCAGGAAGTCAGCTAGGTCACGGAGAGAGCGAAAGCAACCAAACTAGAGCATACGCACCGCTATATGAGAGAATGCCCGCTTCTTTGGTACAATCCCCCGCAAAGCCAGCACTATCAAAAGTACAAGTCGGCGGAGTAGTGCACGAGAGATCGGAAATGGTAAACGAACGGCCGTAGAAGCCAAATCCCATGACGACCTTGTCTGGGCTTACTCCGTTCCTCCAGAGAAGGTCAAGACCATCCTCGATTTCCGTCAGATTGGTGTGGCCCTTCAGGTATGGGCCGGTCCAGACATTCTTCTGGTCCCAGATTCCATGGATGTCGTAGGTCATAACATTGAACCAGTCGACGTATTTTTCGAGACTGTTCAAATTGAAGCCGCGCAGGTACCAGTAGCTGGCCGGAAGAGTAATGGTCAGCTGCCACCCCGGATCCTCCCTGTCGAAGGCTTCGCGGATATCCGCACAAAGCAGGACAAGATTGTCGTAGTCGAACTTCGAGCCACCGCGGTCGTCTGCAACCGGATACTCCCAGTCTATCACCGTTTGTTAGTTGCAAGCAAGTCCGGCATATCTCCGTCGGGAACATCATGTACGAACCAATATCGACACCATTGAGAGCGTAGCGCCGGATATACCGGATCAAGGATGCAATGAACTTCTCTCGATTTGGCCTGGTGGACGCCATCTGGGAGAACCGGTGCTGAGTCGGGGGGTCGTTGAACACCCAACCGCCTACCAATGCATTAGTATTGTTGCTTGGACCGCACCCAACGGACTTAGTACTGACCAAGGGCGATGTTCACCCGTAGGCCGGGATATTTCTTCTTCAGGCGCGACACTCGAGCCACAATGGGACCCTGAGCTTTAGTGTCCGTGATCTCATGGTCTTCGCTAACATATTCAAAGGCAAGGTTGATATGCGTCAGGGCTCCGGCGGGGATGTTCTCGGGCAAGTAATCATCACAGCCTCTTGTAGCTCCCCACAGGCCGTAGTACCCAATACGCACATCCAGTGCCATTGCGTCTACGCTCTCGAAGCATGTCGGGCGCCTGGACCGGCAGTTAGATGGCTAGCTCTGAGTCTTCGGAGCATGGGAAGAACCTACACAACCGGCAGGCAGCCGTTCTTGTTTTGACAATCCTGGTTGCAGAAGTCTTCTGTTGTGCCGCAATAACCCCATTTGCTATTCCGTAGTCAATCTCGGCTGTTTTACGATCTTCCATTCCCATAGCGGGATTCCGTACCTGCAGCAGACATGCAACGGGCAGTCAAAGCTGCCCTCTGGGGCATACTTGCCACATTCCGCAGTGGCGTTGCAAGAGCCCTGGCATCTGACAGACATTTAGTTCATCCGATTCGCGAGCGCACAATTTAAGGACCAAGAGGAGGATCATTTACCCCTCGCCGCAGAAATCGTCACCAAAACCGCATGACCCTATTGTTCAAATCCAATTTAGCGGGTCTTGACTGCTGATGGACGGTCCGAACTGACCATATTTGCTGCAACATCCGCTCTTACACGGCTCTAAAGCGCTGCATTGTGCACCCTGTTGAGCTGCTGAGAGTCTCCACTGTACAATACTGAAGACCAAAAACAACAAAAAGGTCCTGAGCTCCATGGCTTCGGAGACCCTGTAGAATGAGTGACAGTGGCCAGTCTGAGTGAAAAGATAAATGAATGGCTTGGTGAGGCATTTCTTCGGCGCACCAGGTGCTCTAATCTATATTTTATGCAAAAGAGCCTTGAGAATCCTTGCACATACACCAACATTGGTCTAACCATCTTGATACAAACCGGCGTGATAGTTCAGGCTTGCGTAGTGCCGAAGTTTAAGGGAAGGGGAGGGGCCGGCGGACTTGAGCGCCATGAGCCCATGACTAGTGTATATTTAGTATTCCCCTGCATATTGGAGCTAGAAATATTGGTGGCTACAGGTTCCACAGTTTAGGCTAACCGGCCTACCAATCGGATGATATATGCCTGTTAGATTAGGGAGCAAAAGGTTGCATTTCACGGAACTAGGGCCACCGGTTGCAACCCGCTTCCAGTCGTCTCGGCCTAGCCTTCAGTCTCCCAGTCCAGCGCAGGGTTTTTACGTCTCTAGATGCAGAGCCAATTAACCGGCCCGTTTCAGAGAAGAAAGCGGCGTCGCCAGAAGAAGTAGGTCTTGCAAGTCCTTTGAGCGGGGAGTATTCCAGTGTCGTCGAAGCCTGACATACCCTCCATCCACTGCCACTGACCTGCCGCGATATTCACTTCAAAAAGCACAATGACATTCTCGTTTGTACGAAAGTGTGGTGCTTTGGGTACCCTACTCGCCGTTCTTCCATTGCAGGCCACTGCAGTGAAAATATGGGACACCCCGGGTGCCCTGGGAACAGCCATTCCGGCTGGATGTCGTGCAGCTCTGACGACCAACATTACATGCCCGGCCAAGTTGATCACCGCCGCTGAGATTGTGAACGAGGTCCCCCAGAATGAAACGTTTCTTGAACAGTATTGCGAGGCCACCTGCAGAAACTCTCTTCAGGTATCCTTTTCTGCTGCCAGATCAAGGCATGGTCAAGAGCTACGATCGCTGATACCTCCTCCAGAGCTTCGCCACGCTTGTCAACACCCGCTGCGGCAATACTGTGTACTCCTTTGGCAACTCGACGAAGCAGTCTGGCAATCACATCGCAGTCCCCTTGCTGTGGGCGCAAAACGTCGCATGCCTTGAGGATTCGTAAGTTCAACGCAACGCTGTAGCGCTCCGGGATTCGAATTTTGACGAATGTTTACACAGCACAACGCAGTCGTTATGCCTGCCGTCGATTACAACCCATACTGCTAAAGCCTGCGACGACTGCACGCTCAAGTATTTGGCTGGCTTGCTTAACTCCACCTATGGACACCGGAGAGTGAGTGACGACTCATTCTCCGCACTCGCTTCATCCTGCACCGTGGCTCCGACGGCATATCCCCATGGAACAGTCACATTCCCTGCTCCACCCACCAGGTACGAAAAGTCCTACGTGGAGCGCGCAAGTTGGAAGAGCAGAGATACTGATGAGGGTGGTCAGCACGTCCAATTCATCAGCACCGTGTTTGGGCACCGAATACACCGTGGCCGAAGGGGATACCTGCAAGTCCATTGCCCAGGCGAACAATGTTGCATATTATCGTCTTCTGAGCGACAACGGTATTGACCTAAAGTGCGAGAGCCTCTCGGTGGGCACCAAGTTATGCCTGGGTGATAGCTGCACGCTCCACACGGTCAGACACCCACAATACCCGTTTTCCACATAGCTGACACTACCCTACCCCCTAGATCGCGGCGAACGAGACCTGCAAGGATATCCTCGCTGGAAAGGACTTCACCATCACCGAGCTCCTGGCCTGGAATCCGATCATCCACAGGAACTGCGATAATCTCGCTACGCTGGTGGGCCACACTATCTGCGTCTCACCCCCAGGCTCCGGTGACTGGGATATACCCATTACGGTGACCTACAACGAAACCTGGACACTGCCCCCGGGCGACTGGGCTCCGCTGCCTTCTGCTACCGAGGCGCCCAATGTGACGCGCACCGATCCATATGCCTTGGGCAGCATTGGTACTGTGACGGCAACAGCGAACGAGACCCATTGGAGCTTGGGAGCGTCCCGGATTACGGACTGCCCGGTGAAGAACAAGGATATTGAGGACGGATTCGAGTGGGCCCTGCTGCCGGAGGATTGCAGCAGCAGTATGGAGCCGTACTGCACTCCTTTTCTGGATGAGCCTGCGCCGCCCTCGACCACTTTTGCCTCGAGCTGTCTGCCTAGTGTAATTATGGGGTGGTAAGCGGGGCTGAGAGAGTAGTAGTCCAGGGTAGACACCATTAGTCTGAAATACCAGAATGGATAGTATTGGAGGAGTGCATTCTTCCATTACTGTTAGTAGACTACAGTATGGAGCCTTGGCTGATATTGCATGATCCAGATGTCGGAACATGTTCCTGGCGCTAAGGCAGCAACTTTGATTGGCCTCTTCAAGCTTCGGTTCGCGTAGTCAATCACAGTTCACACGGACTTGAGTCTTGGCTAGCATGAGAGCCTCCCTCCTCTCGTTCGCTGGAAGTTACATGGTGCCATCTTGGCAGTGTGCCAAGCAACCTTGGGGCCCTGGGTGCTGCACATACAGGTTCTAGATACATAGAGCGCACGGAATTATCAATTTTGAGGCAGCAATACAGAGAGTTAGATTTTTAGAGGAAACTAGCCCCTCTAGCGCTTGATCATAGCCCCGCGGGTGCCGTCGTAGTTGGTCAACTCCACCAAAGTTGTGGAGTTCATGAGTGCTCCCATAAGCCCCTCCAAGTCGGAGGTAAAGGGGTCCAGCCGGTTATCCCAGGCGATATTCCCGTGCTCATCGAGCCAGAGGATTTTAATCAATCCAGACTCAATGGCCTCTCGGTCCAACAGGTACAGACCGGCCTGGATTTTCAACTCCGCTACAGCCAGGTCCCGCCAATCCTCGCGCTCCTCCTCAGCCTGCACCACCAGGTACTCATCGTTCTGCCCAGTCTTGTACTGCAGCTCACTCCCATCGCCATTCTGGTCAATAATGCCACCAAAATCCGTGATGCCAGGAACACGGACTAACACCCGACGCCATGAGTCCTCGCTGCCGTCGTCGAAATCGTAGCGGGTGGGGTCATCTAGGATCTTGTTCCACCCGGCCCACCATCCGAGCACGACCGAGTTTCGTCTGAGCTCTTCGTATTTGCTCGCGAGATCCGGGTCGTAGCATGTCCGCAGCCAGACGGTCTGCAAACCCGTGCTGCTGACCAGGCTGACATTGCGCTCGTGCGCTGTCTGGTGCGTGTCCAGCACGCGCCTGATCTCCTCGCTGATTTCAGCCGGAGAGGACTCGGATTCGGCACGGCGCTGATACGGCTGGCAAAACAGTCAGACTTTCCTGTATTCTGATCCAGCGTGGAAAGGAGGGGCAAACCCAGCGTTCGATTAGCGTCAGCTTCTGCCATTCCCAAACGAGTCGCTCCCACTGTCCCTGACTGTCTCCCGGGGCATTGTGATCCCAACGTTCCTGTGTGCCAAGGTCAACCCAGCACAAACCCGGATGGTTGCGACATGTGATTTGGGGGAACCAACCGAAATGAAGTGGTCGAATGGTAGACGGCCGTAATCGGCCTCGTTTTCCAGCGTTTCCCCTGACATTTGGGGCTAAGACGACGTAGTGGAATTGACGGAGGGAGGAAAAGAGAGACGAGATGGAGGGCCACGCAATATCAGTTATGGCCTGAGTCGCCTGACAACGCCAAGGTTTACTCCGTCTGTTAGTATAGTGGGCCACTACGGGGATGTAAATCCTTAAATCAGGTCCCTAAGCTGTTCAGTGGCCAGTAAATATCCATGGCAAAAGTCAAAAGAATTCCAGCCCCTGCGATGGCCGATTACGAATACGAACAGAATCAGGGTTAACCGGAGTAGTTCTCTGTGGCATGCTAATGCAACCTCGTTAAAATGGTGCATTTAGCTCAAAAGGGGACGCCGATCCCATCCCTCTTCGTAGCTCCAGCCTCATTCCAAGAGATCCCTAATATGATTCTGAAAAATCTTTTGTCCTCTTCCCTCGTCTTGGGCGCCGCGCTGGCGAGCCCCCATCTCAGCCGACGACAGGATGGCCCTGTCGACCCTGGCACGGCGGCCGATTGCACCTACTATGATACGGCCCTCGACTCGAGCTATACTTGCAAATGGTTCGAGTTCAACTGGGGATTGTCCCATGAGGACTTAGTGTCCTACGTGCGTCTCTCTTCCCTCTACACCACTCTCAGAAATCAGCCCCCAATCAGTCCAACCAACTAACGTGCATTGTAGAATCCCTCAGTCAAGGACGACTGCAGTGGCCTCAGGGTTGGTAACTCCTACTGCGTCGAGGTCAATCACGGCCAGCCCCGTCCGACCACCACCGCCACCTCCTCCACCCCAACCAGCACGGCCACCCCGAAGCCCTCTCCGACGCAGGACGGCCTGATCGACACCTGCACGGCCTTCTACATGGCCGTAGCAGGTGATACCTGTGACAGGATTGTGGCCAGGTACGGCACCTTCACGACGGCCGAGTTCATCTCGTGGAATCCCGCCGTCGGCGCGGACTGCAGTGGCCTCTGGGCGAAGACCTACTACTGCGTCGGCATTCCCAGCACGCCGACCACGAAGCCTTCAACCACGGCCACGCCGACGGGTGGCCCCTCGCCCACGCAGACGGGGATCATCTCCACATGCAACATCTTCTACAAGGCTGTCGGCGGGGACACCTGCAGCAAGGTCGTCGCCAAGTACGGCACCTTCACCTTGGACCAGTTCCTGAGCTGGAATCCGGCCGTGGGAGCGGACTGCAGTGGCTTATGGCTGGGATACTACTACTGTATCGGTGAGGGCGCACTTTCTTCTTCTTCCACTGTCGAGTTGCCTCCAGTAACACCGGACTAATATCTGCCTAGGGGTCCCAGGAACGCCGACTCAGCCCATCACGCCAACCACTACGGCGGGCTGCACGAGTGCGCCGACACCGACGCGGCCGGGCGCCATTTGCGCATGCAATAAATGGCATATGGTGGTTGGGGGCAATACGTGTGACAGCATCCAGAGGCAGTACGGCATCAGCGCGGCCAACTTCAATCAGTGGAATCCGCAGGTGGGAACGAGCTGTTCAACTCTTTGGCTGGGATACTATGTCTGTGTGGGCGTGTAAGCTTGGGGTTAAGCATGGTCGGAAGCTTCTTCGTGGCGTAATTGTTCTACCTGATGTCTCTACTACACACTATCCAGCAGGTTCTTGTAAACACCTCTACAATATACTAGGGTTCTTGTAAACACACCTACTATCCAGTAAGTTCCTGTAAGCAAATAGCCAACTCCCTTGAGTAATTCTCCATCCAACTCATCCCGCAACAGCTGTCCACAGAGCGGTGTTCAGAATGCGGGTGACATCGCCATCTGTTCCACCAGACTGTTTCAGGTCTTCCCAGTCTTGGATTTTGCGCTCAATGTACTCCGCCAGACCTGAAGCATGGAGGATCTCGGCCACACGGTAGTGGCAGTCCAGATACGCCGGATCTGGCAGCAGGAGGTCTTCCCCTTTGGCGCATTCGAATTTGACCTCGCGATTACTAGGCAGGAAAGGCAGAGCGGTGAAGCCTATGTCGGGATAGGTCTTAATGTCGTAGACATTCCGCTCGTCCTTTACAGAATGAAAGCAATGTGAGATTCTCATGATTAGAATAAATGAGGGAATGAGTCGGACTTACTGTCTGGACGAAGGCCATATCGAAACTTCCAAATGCCATGTGTAGGGGAATGATCAACATCATACCGTTTGACAGGCTATTGATTGTTCTAGGCCTCAATCTGTGATTAAGTAGCGTGGGGAAGCACCTGAACAACACCTCCCCCTGATCGGAGGCGTCCTTCGTATCCTGTTTTGAGTCAGTCCATGAGACAACACTGTTGGTTTTCTAGGAAACAATACCTGGATTCCCGCCCAGGACGCAAAACTGAACGGAATTATGTGGGCGTCCTGGGGCTCGTTAGGCTTTCCACTATCGATCCATTTCTTTCGCTCTAGGAAGCGAGTAATGCAGCAGCGGTAACCGTCTCGGCGCAAAAGGTCCTTACGGAATTCGCTATCCTGGACCTCTGATCGAAGAAGGAACATGCCCGTAATCATCTCGGCGTTGGCCTCATAGGGTGAAGCTGTGACTGAGGGTTTACGACTCTTTGCCATCACTAAGGTTGGATCAGCATGTATACTCCGAATTCTTTTTCTCAAGTCGTGTATTATCCTTACTTGGGTAGAGAACACCGGTAAGAATGTCGTGGAAGACTTCCCACAATTTTCTGTCACTGGTAACCTTGACGATGTCTTTGGCCACAGAAGATGGAGCTGGACCGTCTCCTGGAAGCCAGTCCAGACAGGCATTCAGGCAGGCAACGACATACTGATCATGTGGTCTCTTTCCTTTTTTATAACGCTTCACCCTCTTCCTGGCGGCGTCTATAACATTCGGCAGTGTCTCGGGCGGCTCCTCGGTAACAACCACGGAGAGGCCACGCTCTGACTGCTGACGATTGGACTTACGGGTCCGAGCGTGTGTTGAAACCGATGACAGTTCCTCCCCAGTGTCCTCAGGAGGCAGCCTAGCCAGTCGGCGGGATGTCCGGGGAGACACAGGGCTGCTTGGCTGGCGCCGTTTCGAGCTACTCGGAGGCATTATTCCAAGGCAGCACATTTGTGAAGTATTATTCGTGGGCTTGCAGGCGGCCGAAATACATTAAGCTTCTTGACGTCACAGGCTACACAGCATGATATGACAGAATATTTGTAGGAGGTCCCATGGGCCATGGCCGAGACAGAACCCTAAGTTAGGTGCAGTCTGAACCTTCAGCGGTTCACATTTAGCAACAGGCTGCACCATGAGATGAGAGCGGTAGTTTGTTCCAGTAATATATGCGGCTTTGAGAATTTATCATGTAACCATCTTTGGCTGCCAGCTGCTTAATAGAGAGCGCCATGGCTCGAGGTACTGCTCCTAGGTTGCTGTAGGTTTGCGCATTGGACTGTAACTGCTTTAGATCCAAGACGAAGATGGTCTGTACGTTGCTGCCTGTGTCATTGGCAACACGCCTAGAGATAGGGGTTCAGATTGCCTCCATAAGCAGTAATATCAGATACTCCTGGTAGGAGCCTCCATTCAGCTGTGTTGGGATACCCCTGTACTCTGCTGGTCCCCGAGGCTGAAGGCTAGGGGAGTGTGTTAGAAATGGAATACCACTATGATTACAGATATGAGACCCTATCCTGACTGGAATATAGTCCGGACACCCTTTTGGCCTAGTGGTATTAGAATTTGATAGAGTGTCACGGGAAGCACCTTCGCGGCCTGATTTCCCACCGGACGCCTCTACTGGTCATGGCTAAGGATGGTATCTGTTTGGTTTAATTCAGTGTGAATCCAGTGGAATAAAATGCTGGCAGACCAGCTGAAAGAATTGTGAGTGGAATAATTAGAATAAATGAGTAAATGAGTCGGACTTACTGTCTTGACAAAGGCCATATGAAACTTCCAAACGCCTTGTGCAGGGAATCGAAATCGACCAACGTCATACCGTTTGACAGGCTATTGATCATTTGGTCCTCAACCTATAATTGTGTAGACTGTCAGCTGCATGGAGTTGACTGCTGTCGTGAGGCCTTCAACTAGATTCTGGTGTTGGCTCTCTGCGCGTTCACCGTCGAGGATGATACGTCTCGCTGCCTCAACCGTATCATTATGCGCCGCCAGACTACGATCTTCTCGTCATTGTAGGCTGTCTGTCACTGATCTTCTGTCTTACCAGCGCAATCTCTGGGATTCGTCGATTCATTGATATCGTCACTGAAACATTCCCGTCGCCTTCAGACTTCTCTAGCCAGAAGCGGGCTTGATATACTTGGCGCCTGAGATTAGCGACAGTATCTTATCCTGAGATGGCAGTGGGTATACGTCTGGTATGGCTTCCTGATTCAAATCGCGATTGTCCACGACGACTCTTGACTTCAATATTTCCTCGCCGTTTTCCGTCGTAACGCGCCAGACGACGAATACCGGATGGCCAGACGGCATATGATTGCCCATACGACCGTCTCGGTGCAATGCATCAAAGACCTTATCTATCACATCCCGTCGTCGTCGAGCTTCGATTTCCGTTTGGAGAATCTTCTCCATTCGGCGGTAGCAAAGCTTTTCGTGGAACGAAGCAATCATTGGGTGTCGTTTCCAATGCGTTGCGCATAAAGTCAATCACCTCTCCGTATCTAGTGGAGAGTCTGACATTCTGGACTTCCATCCAGCTTTTGATGGTCGATTCGTCTCCGTAACAGGAATAGACGCGGCCTGGACATCTTAACGAAGCCATATTACGCGGCCACCCACGCGACGTAACCTTGGGCTCAAGAAGGAGAGGCAACAGGGTAATCAGGCCATTCATCTTCGGTAGCACCAACACACAGATCATTCCGCAACAGCTGGCCACAGAGCGGTGTTCAAAATATCGGTTATGTCGGTAGAACCGTCGGAACGGAGACAGCCATTGGTGTCACCATACTTTTCCAGGTCCCTCCAGTCTCGGATTTTGTTCCTGATGGGCCATACCAAATCCGCGGCGTTAATGATCTCGGCGACCCGATAATGGCAGTCTAGAAACATTGGATCTGGCAGGGGGATATTGTCCGCGCCTTCACTGCATTGAAATTTGACCTTGCGATCATCAGGCGGCAAGAGCATCTTAAGGACGGCGTTGAATCTCGTACAAATCTTGATGTCATAAACATTCTGCTCTTCCTTCAGAAAAAGACAGCAGTGTGTGAGTAGAATGATTAGAATAAATGTGTGATGACTTGGACTTACTGTCTTGACAAAGGCCATATCAAACATTCTAAACGATTTGTGCAGGAAATCGAGCAACATCATCCCGTTCGAGGGGGTCTTCAATCTACTACGACATACCCTGGGGAAGCATTTATAAAACACTTCCCACTGCTTCGAGCATTCATACGAGTCAGTAAGAGGCAACACCATCAGAGTTCTAGGAAAATACCTCGCTTCCCGCCCAGGACGTGTAACTGCAGGGTATGATGTCGGCGCACTCCACGTCCTCATCAACTGGGAGATATCCATTGTGCTTCCATTTCGTGGTACCTAGATGGCCAGTGATACAACAGCGGTAATCATCTCGGCGCGCACACTCGTCCCGGAAATCGCTGTCTCGAACCTCTGGTTGGATGAGCGTCCCTACAAACACCTCAAGGTTGGGCTCCCTGAAGTCAAAGGGCGATTCCCGCTCTGAGGGTATGGGACTCTCTGCCATCACTGGATTGATCAGCAAGCATCCTTGGTAATTCTTTTCTCTCGCTTACTTCGGTAAAGAAGACAGGTGAGAAGATCGTGAAACACCTGCCACAGCTTTTGGTCGTCATTCCCAGCGTTGACGATGTCTCGGGCAACAGAAGTTTGACCTCCTGGTGGCAACCATTCCAGAAAGGCCTTCAGGCAGGGACGGAGATACTCTTCATGCGGTCTCTCTCCATTCACATAACTCTCAACCCTTGCCCTCGCGGCGTCTATCAAATTAGTGAATGTCTCAGTGGGTTCCGGCATGCCATTCACTGACTGCCGACAATTGGCCTTGGAGGCGGACCGCTGCTGGGCCCGAGCCCCCCTAGTGTCGACCTCAGGAGTCTGCCCAGCCAGTCGACGGGACCTCCGGGGGGAGACAGGGTCTCTTTGCCGGCCACGGTTCGGACTAGTTGGAGGCATTCCTACGGTCTGTGGATGTGGAGTACATTTAAATCAACAAACAAGTTAAGTACTGATGGTCGTAGTGCATAATACTGTTACATTAGCAAGATTCAATTGAAGAACGTGGCATGTCGTCATGGGGGTTCCAGGTACACATACTCCATAGAAACATGGGCTTGCAGGCTGTATTAGGAGACTTAGGGCTACATTCTAGGGCTATATCCTAAAGTCAACACAGCATGATCTGACACCGACATCACAAACCATTATGATATGTGAAGCCCATACAGAAAAATGTATCAATGACATTCATCTGTGGCCTTGAAAGCCTCCTGATCAGGTATTTCAAGAAATGTCCTTAGCCAGCCAAGACTGCTGGCTCAGATATCGTCCACGAACGTCTCAAGTTCTCGATCTTTAACTATTCTCCTGAACGGCTTGGCAACGCTCTTGCTGTTATTTCATCACAACATGCCAATTTATATCTACACAGAATGAGACGGTGAAATCGTGCCTCCCATGCCAACATGAGGAAGTCTTCCACTTGACATATACCTGCTGGTATAAGTTCTCTTCCTGTCCTTCTTAAAACTTCACTCATGGAATCCTGGAGCAATGGGTTGCGCCTCAGCCGAAAAATGAGACACCAGAAGACCGCCACCGCCGGTTGGTACGTCGGTTTCTCGACGTAGGTGTGTTAGGCAGGAAATAAGTTGAACCTCCTTGCATTGAAAGCAATTTGAAGATAATCAAGCCAAACAGCTATACCACACACGTGCCCGGACGGCTCCATTACAGCCAACAGAGTCCCAGATTAATGACATCCTGCGGCCACTAGGGCCAGACTCACTGCGCCGCTATGCAGGGTATGTGGTATCAGAGAAGAAGGGCTCTGGCTGCGCACGTGCTATGATCCAAGAAAGAGGACTCGCACGATTCCCTATGGAATGAATTTGTGGTTAATTATGATGCCATTGGTTACCACTCTCTAGTCCTTGATGAGAAGGAATTATTCGTTGACCTGCCAGGACTGCTCGAGATCTTCCTGGAACAGAACGCGTAACGAATGAAAGAGAGATTAGAGGTGTTGAAAAGCGCGAAACACAGTTGTTGGAGATCCTCGAGCAGGAGGGGGAAGACAGAAAAGGCCCACCTCAGGCAGAGCTCGATGCAACTGGTTTTGCAAGGCACTACTGGTTCTACCATGCGGAATGCGTGGTGACTCATCCCTTTGGGGAAGAGGAGAAGGCTCTAGATGATAGGAAGATCCTGCACGTCTTCCTTGATGATTGCGTGAATATAGTGCGTCAATATCATCGGGACTCGTGCTCGGCTAGTGGCTTTGATGGCTTACGGTTTGAGGGCCTTTGGGATGAGCTTTTTCGTTTTGCTGGAGACATATGCGAGATAGGCCCGGCTTATCTCCCTGGAGGCGTCCGTGGTCCACCATATGAAAGCCCAGCGAGGAAAACAGGGTAGTGGAATGGTTTGCGAGTTTCCCTCTATGTCTGTAATAAGTGTATCCATACCCTTCCCTTCGGTTGGAGAATTTCCATCGATATATATCCGCGGCCACACTGGACTAAGTTCCTGTTGTTCCTTTGACTGGTCCTTCCACAACACGAAAGTGATTGGTCCAAAGTCAATGGCTATTTATTCCAGCTCTTTTCAAGTCGACAATCTACGATACCAGCAACGATGGCGCCGCAGAAGATGGGACATGAATGGCTTTGTCTCTAATGTGACAAGCGCAGATTGGGCTCACGTGTGATGCCTATACCCCGGATTCCGCATGATGGCAGCGCCGTCGCAGACTGTGCTCAAGATTTGCGACGGAAGGAAAATCATGTATTTCTTGGTCTCTCTGGAAACCATGAAGAACGCCACAGTATGGGGAACCCTCTCTTTCCTGGGTCATGGAGGAGCGGTGTCCGGAAGCGCTTCATGACGTGCTCCGCGTTCTCCACACTCAGGATCTTCCTTCGCCGGAGAGTGAGACGAGTCAAACGGCTAGATTGGATGAACATCAGGGTGGTGAAATTAGATGTGATTCCTGCTCGAATAACTCTAGTTGTGAACTAGAAGGCAGAATAGTTGAATCTTTGGCTGCTGGGTGGAAGCGTCACATGATCTTCGACTCGGACCTTCTTAATTCCATTCCGAGCGAGACGCCAGACAGCTGAATGCTCCGTAAGCTCTCAACTCTCAACTTCTTCGGACACCACGGAAGTGGACAAGACATCGCAGCTGATCAAAGGGCCTGCCTGCCTTTTTAAGTAAAGCTGTAATCGGATACAATTACAAATTGCACCCAGAGGCCGGATATTGTACCTATAAATCAAGATTCGACAGGCATCTGCTGTTCTCAGAGGGACAAAGTCCATGAACATGGACAATGGCGCTAAATATTGGTCATATCATCAAGGGACGATATAGGTCGTATCGGCTCGTGGAGGCTTTGAAGACTCCCACGGTTTTCAAAGCGCAGCTGTTATCTGATCCGGCCATCAAGCCGGCCTCGTACGCCCTTCACCTCCCTTGACTTGGAACCGATACTGATTCCATCAAGTGTTGTTGTGAAAACTGAGCCTGGTCCAGAGAAGATCTGCTTGAGACGCGAATGGAATAATTACAGAATACCTGCTATTGCAACGTCCAAGTACATTCGAGAGTTATGCGATGTTATCAGCTCAAACAAAGAAGAACAAAGGGCAGTGGAGGCGGACCCAGAAGCTGATACTTTATACCTAGTCTTTGAATGGATGGATCATGCTCTGAGAACCGTCCCTCCCTTTGGATACCAAATCAACTCTGATCTTCCCAAAGTTATCAGCAAAGCAGTGCTTTCTGCTCTTGCTCTTCTTACTCAGCTCAACGCAGTGCATACAGGTGTGTTCCCTATAGTCCTCCTTAAGGTGTAAATGCTAATTAAGGAAGATATCAATCCCAACAATGTCTTTCTTTCCAACGTCGGTGGACCGTCTCCGATAGTAAAAGTGGGTGATTTAGGAAATAGTAAGTCCCCTTCGACTAAATTTCCAGGATTTTGTTGACCAGCACAGTGCTGTTACAGGGTTACAATAAGATCCGCGTCCAGAGCCTTCCCACGCGCGCACCAGAGGTCTGGCAAGGCTTGGGATGTTTTCATTCATCTGACGTGTGGTCCTTTGGTGTTACTGTATGTTGGACTCTTATCTGTAGGGACGCAAGCTAATTGTGGAAGTTGGTACATTGGCTGGCTCAGAGGCCCATATTCGGGGCCAAGGACAAGATAGTCGAAAACCTGACGGAGGCATGGTGTATTGCCAAGATTCGACGTCTTGTTGGGCCTATAGGACCCCCTATCAGCAATCGCGATTATGAGGAAGAATTTTTCATAGCGGAACATTTGGAGTCGTCAACGTTCAAACATCCGGACACTGGTCTAGAGACTCCCTTCATAAAGGTGGGCTCCTTACGCGAAGAACTCGAAAAGCTACCGGGGCCAAAGATCTCGCCTGAGTTACTGGACTTCATTGAGTTCTTACTTGTGGTTGATCATACGAAAAGACCAACAGCATCTGAAGCACTGCAACACCCATATTTACAATCTCTTGAAGCTTCGGAATAATATAACAACGATAAGCAATTTCATTGACATACAACACCGTTTGGCCGGAAATTTCTCAATCCTGAAGCTGTTATCCAATAGAACCGGTTGCATATGATTTCTCGGATGCCTTCAATAGGATCCGTTGGACTGTTCATGAAGATGCAACCTTTTGTCAAGTAATTCATCTAGCAGGCTGTCAAAACTTAGCGACTAGTCACCACCACCAGACTTAATTTTTCTCAACATTACCTGCTGTTTGGTTGGATCGGTTGTAACATGGCCAACGCATATATCACGACCTGCAGAATCTTTGACATAAATGGTGGAGTGGTCTTCCAGGTCGTTAGGGCTCTCAGAATGAGGCATCGAGCTATGCCATGTCAGCCAACAAGCCTGGGAACTCAGATCAGCTGTTTGCATACGTGACAATAATCCTATCGGTAATGTCTTTCTGAGAAGGCGTCATCATCTTCGGGCCCTTGAATGCACGTTCCACATTGTCCCCTGTCTGCTGTACGACGGCTGGATCAATCGCGTCGATGACACGCCTGAAGCCCTTGTCCCGGACTTCTTCTGCCAATATAATAGGTATCTTTTTCGCGCCATGCACGATTTCTCTGATCACGCGGCCAGACATTGTGTAACAACTGAGATTGTCAATGGGAGTAAAGGAGTTAAACTGAATAGATATCTGGGATGGTCAGCGATTAATGTTTTCATGAGTAAAGACTACAGTAGTGTCTACAGGGAGGAATCCTACTTTCTTAAATGCCTGGGATCAGTGCCAGGCCAAAGAGATCTGCTCCATCTCTATTATTCTTTGGTGCTAAAGTTAGTACTCGGCGATTCGCACACCATAGAGAACGCCACGATGCTCAAGTAATTTGAGATAGGATGAATGGGATGCAGATAGCCAGTCACTCACTCCTCTTGCGGCTAACACACTCCATATTGTCCCTAACTGTCCGACTCAAAGCCCGAATAATACATGTGCTTTGCTAGCCAATGAAACTTCGGATGAGCGTTTGATCAAGGCTTGTTGAGACCATGAATAGTCTTGATTTGGGCGGTTGATTCATGTGAATCTGTCCGCATTGTGGCTTAGCAGAGGTTAAGAACGGGTGAAAGGCGGGTATCTCCCAGCTGTTCTATGACTCTGCTTCATTTCTTGATGTATTTACTGGATCCCTGACTCTGACGTCGTCATCGAAGCTCCTCCATTTAGCTGTCACGGTATTACATGCAACGATACCATCTACTGAGTAGCTAAGGAGTCCAATCTACCCTAGAGCCGGTTCCCTCGGCCTCCTAGTCTCAAGCGTCAGCGATTCCTCGCTCCCCTCACACAAGGAATCCTGCTCCCTTACGCCGACACCAGCAAACTTCTTCTGCCCCAACGGCTGCAAGCACAACTGACTCGAGTCGTCTTCCGGGCGGTGGAATCCGTCACCGAAGGCGGAGGGATCGGGCTTGGGCCCCGCAGACGGGGAGGAGGACTTGGGGCCTGTTCCGTTGGGCGTGTAGACCGATCGACCCAGGAGCGGTCGCATCAGAGGGATCGAAGCAAGGATGACGGCGAGGCAGGGCTCCAGGCCGCTGAAGATGTTGGCGCGGGTGATCGTGTAGGTGATGTCGGTGAAGTCCATCGAGGAGAGCACGGAGATGCGGAGGGCGCTGGTGATGCAGGTACTGGTTTGATCAGTATCAGAATATTAAAGAGCAAGGGAGCGGAAACGTTGAACTTAAAGGGCCTTACACTACTCCCAATCCAAAAACGGTAATCAAGGTCACCTTCTTGTACATTGCCATCTGCAGCTTGTACAGCGACGGCATCGGCCTCACGAGCACGCCCACATCAGTAACCAGATTGATCACCCCCGTCACTGTGAACGAAGTGACCTGGTCTCCACACGATCCACCGGGGATGGTCTGCATTTGACACTGCTTCAGCCTCGTTGTGATATTGACTGTTGGCAATGGGTGCATAAGACAGGTACGCTCTCTACATACTATACCACCAGTTCTAGAAGCTCCCGGTATATCTTGTCATGACTGACTCGGCAATTCGAAAACTGCAGTAACATATCACAATTGGGATTTGAATTTTATGAGACGTCTCCTAAAGAACAACCAGAATATGCAACTTCATAAGAATAGTGCCCTGTTTTCTGCATACTCTATAATGCTCGGTGCTGATCCGTCATACCCTAGTCTTGTGACTTATGGCTTGGCCTGCTTCATGTCGTGGAAATAACCTCTCCATATTGGCGGGTCATTTTGTCTTTCCCTTGAGTGTCTTATGAGGGACTGGGATCGGCAGATTGAGTCAAGATAAATGCCTGGAATCTGGATAATGCCGGCGAAATGCCGGTGAAACGGTTGCTGGCATGGCATTGTAGACTAAGTACTAGATCAAGGACTAGCCTCATGCACCACAAGTCGAGCTCTCCAACCATTCGACCAAACAAGGCGTCTAGACGACAATTCTAGCCTAGAGAATATAGTGTGATTAATAACGTATCCAACAAGCTCCTCCCCGGCCAACTGCCGAAACTCTGCAATTGACAGCCCACTGCCGCACTCCTCCACAACCCATCTCAACCATCTACTGACCTCAGTATGGCTGCCACTGCTGTCGTGGTTGTCATCGCCATAGGTCTGTTAACACTGTTGTATTTCAGCAGAAAGACTGGCAGCAAAAAGGACAAACTCCTGAAACTCCCTCTTATCGGCGACCTCCATAGTTCGCCCATCGAAAAGCCCCTGGCAAACTGGGACTCCTGGGCCCGACAGAATGGCCCGATAGCAGTCCCCAGACTGTTTGGAATTATCCCAGTTGTCGTGCTCAACTCATACGAGGCCGCGACGGAGTTGTTCAGCCGCCGCAGCCAGTGGTACAGCAACCGTCCGCCCTCGGTGAGCATGGAGATGATCACTGGCGCTCCGCCAGGCCAGTCTCGCTTCACGCTGATGCACGACTACGACGACCATCTCAAGCTGCACCACCGCATCCTCTCTCCCAGTCTCGGCGCCCTCGCCGCCCCCAAGTACCAGCCCCTGATGGAACTCGAAGCCAAAAAGCTACTGGTCGACCTAGCCAATGCCTTGCGGCACTGTCCAGACGGCACCACCATCAGCACCGACACCATCTACCCGCTGTTGGAACGCACCCAGTCCAGCGTCATCCTGGCGCTGCACTACGGCCTGCGCATCCCGCACGCCGACGAGCGCATTCTGCACGAGATCATCGACATCCAGGTCCAGGTCACCCACCTCGCCGCTAACCCCGGCCTACCTGATCTCATCCCGCCCCTGCGCCACCTCCCCGCCATCCTATCCCCCTGGAAGCGCGCAGCTGACCGCCTCTTCGCCGCCCAGGTCGACCTCTACATGCGCCTGTTTCACCACGGGAGGGACGCCGCCGGCTGGAACGCCACGAAGCAGGCCATCTCCACCGCGGGCAAGTACGCCCCCGCGTCCTCCCAAGTCCCCGACCTCGACCTCGCCTTCACCCTTGCCACCTCCATCCAGGGCGGCATGGAGACCTCCCCGCGCCAGCTACTATGGCTCTTCATCGCCGCACTGCACCAGCCGTCGTTTGTGGAGCGCGCGCACGCCGTCCTCGACGAGGTCGTCGGCCGTGACCGTCTCCCGCGGTTCTCGGACCGCGCACACCTGGCCTTCATCGACGCCGTCGCCCACGAGCTGTTCCGCTGGCGGCCTATCGCGCCGGGCTCCATCCCCCGCCGCGCGGACCGGGGAGACGAGTTCAAGGGGGTCAGGATCGCAAAGGGCGTGACTGTCATGGCGAATGCGTGGGCCATCGGCCGAGACGAGCAGGTCTTTGACCCTGCGCTTGGGGACCTGCAGGAGTGTGTTCCTGAGAGGTGGTTGCGGGAGGGTGAGCGTGGGGAGGCGAGATTACGGAGTGACCTTCCGCTGCCGGTGTTCGGGCAGGGTCGGCGGATCTGTCAGGGCAGGAGGGTTGCTATTGATGGGACGTTTATGCAGGTTGCTAGTTTGCTCTGGGCGTTTGATGTCCAGCTGGAGGACGGGGCAGAACCGGTGGATCCGTGGGAGATGGCCGTGGTGGGATTCATGACTATGCCGCAGGAACGGAGATTCAAGCTCAAGCCTAGAGGGGACTGGGTGCTCGATGTGATCAAGAGAGAGTGGGAGACGGCGGAGAAGAGTCTGGACAAGGTCATGGGGACGAATGATGTTGAGTGATCAGGAAGGATTGATGCATGGCATATCATCTTGCAAGGTCTCTTGTCGGTATACTCAAGGCAATCATGTTGACAATCAAACGCTCCATCTCAATGATCTACCGCATATGAACTACTGCTTACAGTCCGCAGAAAACCTGAGACCATCATCAGCCTTACTCGTATGCATCCCCGTACTGATACTCTGCAACCCTCTTCTGGAAAATGTTGTCTTCCCATTCGGTGAGATACTGTCCACGAAGGGAAAGGATTCTTAACGCGGTAACATCGCTGCTCGCAGAGCACCAGCATCCTATCAGCCGCAACTCAAGATATCGACAATAGGCTGCGCATTCATTCCAGCAGCGTAATGGGCAGGGCACCAGCCAGGAACACTCTTGACTTCGACGACATCAACAATAATCTGCAGGATTATCTCCAGCAGCGGCTGATGCTCAAGGCAGGAGAACAGGAGTCATTCAAAACCCATGCACAGGTCTTTGTCACGGCGATGCTCCAAAAGCAGGACGTCTTCGCTTCTTCATATTGGTTTATCGGAGCGTCCGAAGATGCGAGATTCGCTGTAAGTAATTATGGCTGGAGATTTAGCCTGTAAAGGAAGCTTTATACGACGACCAATGCTATTATTGCTATTAGCGGCAGTCAATCTGTCTTCAATGCGTTGCTATCCGAATGAAATCATACTATAGCTGACATAGTCAGAAACCAGGCATCAAGGCAGGAATCAATTACACTTCCTAAAACGCGAGTCGCGTCGCGCGTCGATCACGTGACAATATCTCCCCATTCATTCCTTGCCACTTTCGGGCTAGTGCGACTATCAGCTTCACATCGTCAAAACAAAAGACCAACAATGCAGAGCTAAAAGTGGTGATTGGCAATAACAAGGCTGCGATCGACACCCAGTCTGGCTTCTATAGACATATCTAGCTCCTTTTTCCTTGGTGAGGCTACAGTCTACCAATTACCGTACATCAACCGAGTCCACCTGAGTCCAGCGGTCTGATCCCTAGGTGGAATCAACGGAGACGAGCAGATACACAGACAAAATGGTCAGTTCTATTGACAAAATCTCCAAAAGCATATTGACCAGACTGACGTTTTCTAGCGCTCATCCTTCCGCCGTCTAGCCGCAGATCACGCTGCATTGCACGAGGAACTCCCTCCAAACTACCTCTTCCCTACCGAAGAATCATCCGATGATCTCACCCAACTCACCACCCTGCTGGCCGGTCCGCAGGGCACACCGTACTCCCAGGGTCTGTGGCGATTACACTTGAAAATGCCAGAGGATTACCCGAAGAGTCCGCCCAAGGCGACATTCAAGACCCGAATATGGCATCCGAACGTGGAGGAGTCGACCGGCGCAGTGTGCGTGGATACACTAAAAAGGGATTGGAAGTCGACGTTGACGTTGAAGGACGTCCTAATCGTGCGTGCTCTACTATCAATGTAACGAAAAAACAGGGACTGACTCCCCTGGACTAGACCATCTCCTGCCTCCTCATCTACCCTAACCCCGACTCCGCGCTGAATTCCACGGCCGGCGCTCTCCTGCAAGAAGACTACGATGCGTTCGCGCGCCAGGCGAAGCTCATGACATCGATCCACGCGCCGGTCCCATTAGATCTCAAAACCGCAGTCGTAGAGGCGAAATCGAGGGGCGAGGAAGCCGGAACACTCATCCCGGAGCACGAGGGTAACCGCTGTCCGCGATCACGCACGGGGACAAGGGTGCAGTCCTTGACGATGAAAACGAAGAAGCCGAGTGTGACACCGCAGACGACCGCCGTCCCCCAGTCACCCACCCACAACCCATCGAACCAAACCGACACCCCAGAATCAGACGATGAAAGCGAAAGCGACGGCGAAACCACCCGCCCCTCCACCTCCAAAGAAAACGACCCATCACTCTCCCCCTCCCCCGTGAAACTCGCCCTTCCCAGCCCCCGCAAAAACACCCATGGCAAACGACCTCTCTCCGACCTCACCATGACCCTAGATCCAGACCCAGAGGACCCCAATCCCACACCCGCACGAACAACAGACAAGCCACAAATGACCACCTCGGAAAAGAACATCGCCGCCAACCAACCCCGCGATCCCTCCCCACAACCGCAACCGCAGCGGAAATCCCCCAAGCTCTCCCTCCTCGACAAGGGCGTCAACGCCTCGGCCCGCATCCGCGACGACGTAATCATCATCTTCGAAGACGCCTCGGAACCTTCCGACCTGCAGTCCCATCACAGCAACGACAGCAAGGAGAATCATGCTGCGCTCAATGCCTTCAAGGGGATGGGCCCGTCCGCACGGAAGAATCCGCACTACCCTTCGTCTCTTCTCGCCCCTTCCACGGCGATTACTTGTCCGTCGGGCTCAAAGTCCAGAGCGGTATCTGGCTCGCGGAAGGTCTCGTCCTCGAGCATGAAGGCGAAGCCTCGGATTGGGATCCGCAGGTTATAGAGCCCGGTATATGTATGCGATTTCTGGTTACTTTTGTTGATACCACTGCGTGCTTCTGTACGCCTCTGGGTTTCTCTGGCCGGTCTTGGCGTTGGATAAGGGCATATGCGGACGCATTGGGGCTCGGTGGTGGTCCTTTCTGATTGGGATGAACTGCTAAGGTGCTAGGGGTTTGCGATTTCTTCCATCTTTATATCTCTTCTCTATCAGCGACGCATGCATCAAACTTAGTATAGCAAGCCT